AAAGAATCAGCTCTTAACTTCATTGATCCTTTATACTGCTTTTTGGTCTCTATTTCATTGATTGCTGCTCTAATTTTTATTATTTCTCTCCTTTTCCTGCCTTTGGGCTTTGTTTTTCTCTTTCTAGTTCTGTTAGGTATAGTTTAAGATTACTTATTTGAGATTTCTCTGATTTGTTGAGTTGAGCTTGTTTTGCTATGAATTTCCCTCTTAGAACTGCTTTCGCCACAACCTATAAGGGTTGGTACAATGTATTTTCTCTTTCATTTGTCTCCAGGTATTTTTTGATTTCTTCATTGATCAAATTGTTGTACAGTAGCATGTTATTTAGTCTCCATGTATTTGTGACTTTCCCAGCTATTTTCTTGTAGTTGATTTCTGGTTTCATAGCATTGTAGCTGGAAAAGATGCTTGATATGATTTCAATCTTCTTAAATTAATTGAGGCTTGCCTTGTTTCCCAATATGTGGTCTATCTTTGAAAATGTTCCATGTGCACTTGAGAAGAATGTGTATTCTGTTTTTGGATGGACTGTTCAATACATTTCTGCCAAGTCCGTCTGGTCTAGTGTTTCACTTAAGTTTACTATTTCTTTGTTGAATTTCTGTCTGGATGATCTATACGTTGATGTAAATTGGGTGTTGAGGTCCCCTACTTTTATTGTGTTGCTGTTAATTTCTCCCTTTAGGTCTGTTAATAGTTGCTTTATATACTTTGGTGCTCCTGTGTTAGATGCATATATATTCATAAGTGTTATGTTCTCTTGGTGGAATGTCCTGTTTATCATTATATACTGCCCCTCTTTCTCTCTCATTGTCTTTTTTATCTTCAAGTCTACTTTGTCTAAGTATGGCAACACCTGCTTTCTTTTGATAGCCATTTGCTTGGAGTATCATCTTCTATCCCTCCACTCTGAGCCTGTGTTTGTCTTTAGAGCTGAGATGTGTTTCCTGGAGGCAGCATATTGTTGAGTCTTGTTCTTTAATCCATCCATCCACTCTGTGTCTTTTGATTGGAGAATTCAATCCATTTACATTTAGAATGATTATTGATATATGAGGGCTTAATATTGCCATTTTATCTCTGTTTTCTGGTTGTTCTATATTTCCCTTGTTTCTCTTCCCTAGTGTTTCTGACTGCCATTTCAGTTTGGTGGTTTTCTGTGATGGTTTTCTTAGTTTTCTCTTTATTTATGATTTGTGTCTCTGCTCTGAGTTTTTGTTTAGTGGTTACCATGAAGTTTGTATAAAAGACCTTGTAGATAAGATAGTCCATTTTCTGATAGCCTCTTATCTCCATTAGCCTAAGTAGGTTCCAACCCGTTCCACTTCCCCTTCTAAGTTATTGTTCTCATAAATTATTCTGTTTTGTGTTGTGGGTTTGTGATTAAAGTGAAGTGTTTATAGTTATTTTTGGTGCTTTCCTTCTATTTATTTCTTATGTTATAATTAAGACTTTGCTAACCTGTTTTGATAGCTGCAATTTTCTGATTTTCTCTATTTATCTCCTTGCTCGAGGCTTTGTAAACCTTTGCCTTTTTGTTTCAGGTATGAGGGCATCCTTGACCATTTCTTGTAAGGGATGTCTAGTGGCAATGAACTCCCTCAGCTTTCATTTACCTGGGAAAGCTTTTATTTCTCCATCATATCTGAAGGATAATTTCACTGGATAGAGTATTCTTGGCTGAAAGTTTTGGTCTTTCAGTATTTTTAATATATCATTCCAATCTCTCTTAGACTGTAAGGCTTCTGCTAATAAATCCACTGAAAACCTGGTGGGGGTTCCTTTGTATGTTATTTTCTTCTCTCTTGCTGCTCTTAATATTTTTTGTCATTGACTTTTGCCAGTTTTACTATTATATGCCTTGGAGAAGGTCGTTTTGCATTGATGTAATTGGGAGTTCTATTGACTTCATATACTCATAAGTCCAGTTCTTTCCCCAGGTTTGGGGAATTCTCAGCTATTATTTCTTTGAACAAGCTTTCTGCTCCTTTCTCCCTCTCTTCTCCCACTGGAATACCTATAATCCTTATGTTGCATTTCCGAATTGAGTTGGATATTTCTCAAAGAGTTTCTTCATTTTTTTAAATCTTAGTTCTCTCTTCTCCTTCACCCAAACCATTTCTATATTTCTGTCCTTTAAATTACTAATTCTTTCCTCCATAATGTCAGATCTGTATTTTAATGTTTGTAGATTGTTTTTTCATCTCATTGAGTTCTTCCTCTCCAGAATTTGTTTGATTTTTTCCTTAGAGTTTCAATCTCTTTGGTGAAGAATTCTTTCTGCTCATTAATTTTATTTCTGAGTTCATTGATCTTTCTGAGTTTTCTTATAACTTGTTGAGCTTCTTTATGACAACTATTTTGAATTCCCTGTCATTTAGATTGTAAATTTCTGTGAGTTCAAGATTGGTTTCTGGAGACTTGTCATTTTCCTTCTGCTCTGGAGTGTTACTGTAGTTCTTCATGGTATTTGATGATGTGATCCTTTGCTGGATTCCACTCGCCACCCCGGGGGGGCAGAAGCTGTGTTTTATAAACCTGCCAAGTCTGCTGGACGTTGTGCCGATAGGATTCTTCTGTGTTTGCCTGCTGGTTGCAGCCACTTAGTGGGTCACACATGCACGTGCAGGCACTGTGGTGTGGAACCACTGCCTGGGCCGGAGTCCAGCTGAGCTGTTGCACTAGGGGGAGGGGAGGAGAAGGGCTCTTTCTTTTACACATGTGGACCCACTCTGCACTCACGGGCGTTTTGCCTGGGCTGCTGTGCTTAGTGGCTGAGCCAAACCACTTGTTGTGGAGCATTCCCAAAGGCTGGGCTGCAACTCTAAAAGCAAGAGTGTTTGCATGCAGGCCTGCCTGCTCCCCCACTCCTCTTACAGTTATGCACTGGCTGCTGTGTGAGGACCCACAACCTAGATCACTGCCACTGGGGAGGGAAAGGGGATCTGCTCACCTCCTTCCACTGCTTCCCAGGGATCCAGTACCCCCATCTACAGATGTATGGCTGTATATATCTCTCAGGGGTCCTCTTGGACTTTATATGGAATCTTCTGTTGGTTAATGAATGTTCGTTGGTTGTAACTTAGAAGGGAGAGACTAAGGGAACATTTCACTCTGCCATGATGCTGACGTCACTCTGACTTGCTTCTTTTTCACTGTTTCTATTTTTCTGTTGTGAATGAGTATCTTCCCACTCATTACAACTATGCCTATCTTTAGCACGTGAAATGTAGTTATAATGGCTGCTTTAACATCTTTGTCTGATAATTCCAACATCTGTGTCACTTTGGCTTGGCATCTGTTGATTTTCTTTCCCCGTAAGACAATAATTTCCTGATTCTTCATATGTCAAGTACTTCTGAGTAATCTTGGACATTTTGTTGTGTAGACTCTGGATCCTATTAAAATCCTCTGAGGAATATTTAAACATTTTTTGTTTGTTTTAGCAGGCAATCAACTTGGTTAGATGCAGACCATAAACTCTCTCTTATTTTCTGTAGGCAATGGTCCTAACCTCAGTTGTTTCAAAAGCCTTTGCTATGTTGCCTTTGGTCTGCCCCATGCATGAGTCACTCAGGGGTTAGTCTGTGACTGGGGCAATGGTTCTTTTCTACATTTACTTCAGTTCGTAAAGCCATTGCTATGCTGATTTTGGCCTGTCTGATGCACGCACAGCTGGAGGTGACCTAAAGATACTTGGTTGGATTCATACATAGAATTAAGGAGCTCCATTCCCTAGCTTTCTCTTGTCTTGAATCCATGCCTCCCCAACCTCTGACACATACTCTATTTCTCAAGGTCATTTTTCCTGCTTTCGCTAATCAGAAAATGAGGTTTTTCTCTGCATTTAGCTGCCCATAATGCCATAAATGTGGCTTCCCTTGGGGAAAAGCTGCTACAGAGAAAAAAAACAACAATAAGGATTCCTCACACTCTCTTTAGACTGTAGGGTCTATTTTCCCAGACCTTCAGGCCATAAAAACAGGTTTTCTATTATAGTTTTGGCCTCCTCTGCTGTCCTTGCACAGTTGCATGACTGGGGTCTGCCTTCAGGTCAAAGATGCAAGAGCAAGAAAAATTCACCCCTGTGGTTTTGACTTTTCTTCACAATCCACCTGCTGCTGTTTACTTTTCAGAGTCTTCAGGTAGTTCCCTTTGCATTTTATCCAGAGTTTTTGGTTGCAAGCAGTGGAAAAGAGGTCATAGTGGGCCTATTCCAACACTGGAAGGCTGTGTGCTCCATGAGAGGAGGGACCATATCTGGTTTTACCCTTTATCTAGATAGTACTTAGCAGATGGTAGGCACTTAATACATATATGTGGAATAAACATTGAGTGAACCGAGAATAAAAAAGTGCCAGATGCTTGAAATGACAACAAAAATAAAAAACACTCTGCATAGTTAACAAGAAAGGCATATTTGGCAGAAGAGTAAGAGATTCTAACACCAAGAATAGGCTTTTCAAATACATCAAGAAAAAGGAAGCAAATTATGGAAAGACTAAGATCTTTAATGATTATGCTGTAAAGACAGATAAGGAATCAACAGGACAACTTAGGAAAAGGTTCTACTCTTATAGAACAAAAACTTAGGAGTGGAAGTTTTGAAGAACTAGGACCCTGGCTAGGGTAGAATTTTGGTACCACTTTAATGGAGGAAGTTGAAGAAGAAAAGCCAGACACTTGAGTGATGTGGGGTCAGAAGCAGGATGGACAGGATATATCGGCCTTAGCTCTCTCCCCATTGCCCCTTTCTCTCTTCTTTAATACTGTGCCTGTCCACTTTCTTCTCTGACCAATTTTTAAAATGCCTATTTCCTTAATATAGTATAAATTTTGTAATTTAAAAGGTAGATAAACTCATGAATTTTACCTGTCTCTTAATAACTGGGTTTTTTTAGGGGTCAATTTTTGATAGAAAAAAATTGATAGAAAAACATCTTATCAATAGCTCTATGCAATTATTTGAGAGAAATTTGATATAAGCAAAAGCCTACCTGTATAACTCAGAAGTAACTGGTAATCCAGATGTCTAAGGGTTCCAGTGACAGTATCCTGTTAGGAGACGTCTCACTATATGTCTAGATAGTTGTCATAATGGAAAGAATGAGGGTTTTGAAATCAGAAATATACTAGTTGCATGATCTCGGGTACATTATCATCCATCATCATCTTTTAGTGGGCACAGTACTACCTATGTTTCTTATTTTGTACTCACAGCTAGAGAAAGCAGAATTAAATTTGAGGACAGCCAACCAAGTGTGAGTTTACTGGATATCATGGCAGTCTACTTGTATGCTAACAAAAAGGAGACTTCAGAGTGATTTATATTCCAGTACCTTACATTTATGATCACCTCAGTTTTTGAATTTTATTTTACGCTATATTTATTTCAATAAGCTTCTTTTTTTTTCTGCTCCCTGCCCCCCAAGTCCCCCAACTATGTAGTTGTATATTTTAGTTGTCGGTCCTTCTAGTTGTGGCATGTGGGATGCCGCCTCAGCGTGGCCTGATGAGCGGTGCCATGTCTGCGCCCAGAATCTGAACTGGCAAAACCCTGGGCCGCCGAAGTGGAGCGCGTGAACTTAACCATTCGGCCACAGGGCCGGCCCCTCAATAAGCTTCTTAAAATCCTTTTTGGAATGAGGTAGAGTATAAATACATACTACATATCGTGTTATTATGGGGGTAAAGTAAGATGATTGTACAGACCATAGCAAAAGCTATGGTCCTCAATTGGTCATTTTTATTAGAAATATGTACTGTTATCATATTGCTAAGTTTTGCTTGTAAAGTAGTGTAAAATTTTGATAGATTTAGAGGTCCTGTTTTCACCTGGTTTTATTAGAAAGGCTCTTTGTACATATTAATAATGGATACTGTGGTATTGTCAAAAGAGTTGGGCAATTAAGCTCTCTGCTTTTAACTTGCTACATAGTATTGATTGAGTTTCTTGCCAGTTCACCTCCTTGTACCTCAGTTTCACAGCTATAAAAAGCGATAGGGAGGGAGGATGGTAGGTGACCTAAGGGCTTTATCAGTTTTAAGTCCATGCTTCTATTCTCTTACAGTAAAGAAACAGGGTAAGAGCATTCCAATATATGCTGTTTGGGAACGTCACATCTTATGTAAACGTCATGTATGTATACATGTATATCACTTAATAAAAACAACTTCTTTCTTTCCCTGGTGTGTTGTACTATATACTGTACTTTGGGCTTATCTTTTTGGAGCAATGTTGTGCAATAGTGACATCTAGTGACTATGCCACATATCATTCAGCAAAAATTTATGGCCAATTTTTAGCTCTCTAAAAGTGGATTCTCTTTGAGGCTTAGCTAAACACTTTAAAATCATTCCTCATCTCTCCCTCCTATAGATTTAAGAAATACCAATTAAATTTGGCAGTAGCACTACTAATTGGATACATAATAACTGAAATTTCCTTCAAAAAATCATAATGCGTACAGCACTAAGTAGAAACCATTCTTGGGGCCAGCCCGGTGGTGCAGTGGTTAAGTGCGCACGTTCTGCTTCGGCGGCCCGGGGTTCACTGGTTCGGATCCCGGGTGTGGACATGGCACCGCTTGACAAGCCGTGCTGTGGTAGGTGTCCCACACATAAAATAGAGGAAGATGGGAATGGATGTTAGCTCAGGGCCAGCCTTCCTCTGCAAAAAGAGGAGGATTAGCAGCAGTTAGCTGAGGGCTAATCTTCCTTGGGAAAAAAAAAAAAAAACTATTCTAAGTGAGACTGCAACTTTTTTACTCCCATTGAGAGTGGTAGAACTGGGTTTGGAGTTCAGGTGTGTTTCAATGTGTAGTTCATGTCCTCAGCCACTATACATCGCTGACACATAATAGTCATTTAACATATATTTATTAAATGAATGTTCGGTAAACACATGCATCAATTCTGTGTTTGTGAGGCTGTATTCCTTTAAAGTCTTTGGAACTGTTGCTGTCTTTCAGACAAGTCTAAGTTTACATCAAAGGTCATCAACTAAAAACAACTACAGTATAAATCTTTTAACAAATGAATTTGAGAGTCATACCCACAAACAGAATATTCTTTATAAAGAGCATTCAAACTAGATCTATTTTTTCTTTTTTAAAATAATGACTAGCTGGCATTATTGTTCAATCAGAAAAATACAACTCTGGGCAAAACTACTATTCCAATTCAAATAGACTTTGCTACTGTTAAAATTCCTATAGTATTTGGTGTTTGTTCTCAATAATCAGATATTATCTTGAATTTTTATTCTTTTCAAGTGCCTAGATCTTGTTTCCACAATAAAATGGCATTCCATGGTTCAGAGTATGCTTTATATTATTCTCTTTCCCTTAGCACCAAACACATTGGTTTTTCTCACCTATAGAACAGTTGCCAACAACTTACCCAGAATCTGTTTTCCACAACATGGCACAAACTATCTTGTCAGCTTTCTCTTGAGTTCTCTGGACCCTACGTTTCAGTCAATTAAACTGTTACGTGTTCTCCCACGCATTATTTGTTTTCTTTTATTTGCTCGGAATACCTTCCCACCGCATCTCTTCTTTGTAAATGATATCTGTCTATCACTTGAGGGTCACTCCAAGGAAAGCTTCCTGCAGGTGTACCACAAAACTGGAAGTCGTCTTCCCCTTTGGAATTCTTACATCATTTTGTCACTTGCTCTATCTTCCTTCTCCCTCTGCTTGTCCCTTCTTGGTCTTCTTTACAGGCTTCTTTTCCTCTATCCATTCCTCAATGCATACTGAAATGTTAGACTTCCTCGGCATTCTGCCCTATGCCCTCTTCTCTTCTTGCTCTCTATACATTTCTTAAGCAATGTATTTCACTCCTGTGGCTCTAATGGTGACCAGTATGCTAATGAGCCTGGCCTAGAGAAGCTCTCTTGAGATTTTTGACTAGCATATTTAACTATTCATTGGATATCTCTACCTGATTGTCTTTACAAGTATCTTAAGCTCAACATATGCACAACTGAATTCAAGACCTTTCCCCACCAAAACTATTCCTTCTTCAGAGAATTTCCTGTCTTAGAGATCGAAGCCACCATCTACCTAGTTGCTCAAACTAGAAACTGAGGAGTCATTCCTTCTATGCACTACCCCTCCTTGCTGACATCCACTGAGTTACTCGATCATGTTAAATCAGGCTCCTAAATATTTAAAAACTTTGTCCATCTCTCTCCATATAAATTGCCATTATTTCAGTCCAGGCCATAAGCACCTTTCCCCCAAAACACCATAAGGGCCTCCAGTCTTGGTCCTCCCCAGTGTAATTTCCACAATCCAGAGTAATCTTCTAAAATGTAGGGCAATTATGGGAACTTCCTGCTTAATATTCATCAATGGCTTCCCATAGAAGAAAAATGTCCAAATTCCTTAAACATAGCTTACAGAGCCCTCTGTAATAAGGGCTAACCTTGTCCCTGCCTATCTCCTCATTCTTCACTTGACATTCTAAACTTCAGGCATATGAAATTTCAGTTCTTCAAACTTGCCATGCATCACATCTCTGAGACTTTACATTCTGTATGCTGCCTTCTAACCCCACACCCCTGCTTTTTGCTCAGCAAACTCTATGTCAGTGTAAGAAGTCCTTCTTGTGGAAGCTCTCTTCACTTTGCATTCTTTTTTTTTTTGGTGAGGAATATTGGCCCTGAGCCAATATCTGTTGCCAATCTTCCTCTTTTTGCTTGAGGAAGATTGCCACTGAGCTAACATCTGTGCCAGTCTTCCTGTATTTTGTATCTGGGATGCTGCCACACCATGGTTTGATGAGCAGTGTATAGGTCCATGCCTGGGATCCGAACTTGTGAACCCCAGGCCACCGAAGGGGAGTGTGCAAACTTAAGCATTATGCCACCTGGCCGGCCCCCAGGATGCATCCTTATCATAGCATCTACCCCTCCTCACAGCATCCACTTTACTACTGTAATTGCTTGTTTAACTATTATCATTCTTTTATTTGACAAATATTCACTGAGAGTCCGCTATGTCACTGGTACTGCATTCTCCTCTGCATATAGAATTTAGTCAGTTCAGGGTATTGTGTAAGCACATACCGTATGTGGGAGACGGTCCAAGAAATGTCTCTTAATGACTTGCATTTCCATCTATTTCCCTACCAGATTAAATTTCATAATCATTTCCGAGTTCTTTGAATTACCTAACACAGTGGATGGTAGATAAATATCTAATCTCATTAACTGTTGGATTTTAAACATATACAAACAATTTTTGCATTGTAAGAGGACTGCACCCAGCCATTACTTTCTACCTAGCAGAGTTTTTCTTTGATATCACTTTGGATATAATGGAGTGTAAACACTTAGGCAAACTTCTGCAGTGAAAAACGTGAGCCTCAGTATCAGAACAGTGTAATAATGCTGCCGCTTACTAGGCGTGTGTCCATGGCCAAGAGCCTTAACCCCTCTGAGCCTCAGTTTCCTCATCTGAAAAAGGTAGTTACAAAGTCAAATGAGATATGAGAAAATAAAAGCATAGCACAAAATGTAAAGGGCTATCCAAATGCCATTATTACGATTGTTATTAGAGTGAACACAGATCAGGTCTCCCTGTCACTGGTCATCCCAGCTCTACAGGCAACGAGATTTCCAAATCTCATCCTTCACCTTCCCTTTATCATTTAAGAGGTAGGCTTCTGTACTTTAATAAACACATAATGATGGAAATGGTTAAAAAAAAAAAAACACCCCACAACACCAGGAAAACCAAGCCAAAAAATTTAACAAGTAAATATTAAAGGGACAAGAGAGACAGAAGCACCAGCCTATGAAGTCTAGAATTTGGATATATGGACCAAAAAAACATCAGGCCACAATTACTTTTTTTTTTAATATTAACTAGAAGGGTAAGTGGCACAAAAGAGTAATGATCTGAATCACTTCTCAGTAAAATGGTAACCCACTGAGCTGCAAAGTCAGGAGATTGGGTTCAAGAACTAGTTTAGCTATGAACCTAACCACTAATCCCCAGGCAGTCTACCCACCCCACACTCTGGTCTTTCAGCTCCTGATCTCCTTGGCTCCTATCATCTTTTTTTCCACCCTATCTCAGCCACACACTCAGAAGGCCACAAATATCAAATGGCCACTCCATCGAGCCCAGCGATGCTACCATGCTCCTATAGTATTACTATATACTGAATGTTTGTGTCTTCTCAAAATCCTTAGGCTGAAATCCTAACCCCCAAAGTGATGGTGTTAGGACGTGGGGCCTTTGGGAGGTGATTATGTGATGAGGGCAGAGCCCTCACAAATGGGATTAAGGCTCTTATTAAAAGAGACCCTGAGAGCTCCCTTGCCCCTTTTGGCCATCCATGGACCAGGAATTGGGCCCTCAGCAGACAGCAAATAGGCTGGCACCTTGATCTTGGACTTCCTAGCCTTTAGAACTGTGAGAAATAAACTTCTGTTGTTTAGGGGCCAGCCCCAGGGTTGAGTGGTTCGGTTCGTGTGCTCCACTTTAGTGGCCTGGGGTTTGCCAGTTTGGATCCGGGGTGTGGACCTATGATCAGGCCGTGCTGTGGCCGCATCCCACATAGAAGAACTAGAATGACTTACGACTAGCATATACAACTATGTCCTGGGGCTGTGGGGAGGAAAAAAGATAAAAGGAGGAAGACTGGCAACAGATGTTAGTTCAGGGCCAATCTTCCTCACCAAAACAGTATACTTAGAGAAAAAAAATTCTTAAATTTCTGTTGTTTTATAAGCCTATGGTATTTTTATAACAGCGTCCCAGACTAAGACAAGTATGATTGCCTTCTGTCCTCCCAATGATTATTTTCTACTTTCCCTTTGCCCCTTAAACTGCCTACCAAACATCCCTACTCTCCTCTTACTGATCATGCTCATAATTCATTGAGAAAAAGTGAATCAATATCAGGCAGAAACTCTCTCACCTTCTAATCACTGAATCTACCCATCCACCTGCATCTCTACTTATACTCATTACCTTTCTTCCTATTACTGTAAATTTTATGTTCATATTTCTAAGCCAATACTTCATACAAGTTCCTTGGATCCTATTCCTTCTTGTTTCCTCAAAGACTTTACTCCTCTAATATACACATTCTCTGTTATACTATAATTTTTCCCCCTCTCTACTGGATCGTTCCCATCAGCCTTTTTATCCCCATCTTTAAGACCCTAATTTGACCCCACATATTCCTCTGTTACCTCCGTTTTTCAACTCTTCATAGTAAAGTATCTTGAGAAGTCTGTGCTATGTCCATTTCTTCACGTCACGTTTCGTCTTCATTGTGCTTGTCAGAGCACATCACCATATGTTGCCAAAATCCAATGGTCAGATCTCTTTATTTACGTGACTCTTGAGCATGTTTCAATACCATTGGCCATGCTTTGTTGTCTTGGCTTTTAAGTCATCATGCTCTTCAGGTTTTCTTCACCAGATACTCCTTCTCCATCTGCTTTGGTTGCTTCTTTTCCTCGGCGTTACCTCTGATCATTGGAATACTCTCTACAAACACACTTTCTCTAGGTAGTTTTTCCTACATGCTGATGACTCTCAACTTTTATCTTTCGTCCCTTACACAGAACTCGACTCCCAAATTACTTTAGATTTCTAATAAGCACATCAAACTTAAGGTGAGCAAAACAAGAATACCACCCCCCCCCCCCCGACACACACACTTTTTCTTCCCTAGTCTTTTCCATTTGGTAAAGGGCACAACCATCCACTCAAGCTCAAGATGAAAATCAGGAGCTCCCCTTTTTTTCTCACCTCTATATTTAAAACATCACCAAGTCTGTAGGCTCTGCCTCCAAATGTATCTCACAGCCATCTACTTCCTACCGCTTTAGCCCAAGCTACTATCCTACCTTCCTTCCTGGATTACTGCAAGTGTCTTCTGCTACTAATCTGCTCCCCATCCCTATGACCCATTCACCACATGACAGGTGGAACAAACCTTTTCATAATGTAATCAGATTACTCCCTTCTGAAACACTCTGTACTAGTTTCTCATCACACTTTACATACATTCCAAATGTATACCATGGGTAGATTGCCATGGCTGATTCAGGGCACTACCTGATTTCGCCCCTCCCTATCTCTTCATGCTTATCCTGTACCGCTGTCTCTACATTCCAGCTACAGCGGTCTTTATGATGTTCCTTGAAAGAGTCAAGCTCTTTCATACCTTAGGGCTTTTGCAATTGAAGTTCCCTTTACCTGAAATCCTCTGGCCCCAAATATTTCTGTGGCTGGCTTTTTTATATCACTGAGGCCAGCACAAATGTCAGCTCCTCAGAGAGGCCTTCCCTAACCAATCAATCTAAAGTAACCCCTCCCCTAGTCTTTCTCACTTCACACGGTTTTACTTCTTCACTGCACTCACCATTATCAACACTTCCTTGTTCATATATTACCTGTTTATTTTCTATCTTTGTTCACCAGAATTTAAGCTCCATGAGAACAGGAACCTTACCAGTCTTCCTTACCATTGTATTCACAACGCTTGGCAAGGCAGTAGATTCCTTAAAAAGATGTGAGCAAGTCACTCAAGTTCTCTAACTCACATTTGTGGGGCTACTATTGCTAGACTTAGCTCTGGGTTTCGGGATTACAAAGGTGAATAAGGCATGGCTCCTTGAGAATCTTATCCATTTATCTCTTCAACAAATATATACTGAATGCATATTTTACTGTTCCAGGTCCTGTTCAATGTCAGTATGTAGTTCCCTCTTCAGTAAAATGGAGTTTTGTTAACTAACTCTATCTCACAGAGTGTATAAAAAGGATGAGTATGAAAATTATGCACAAAAAGAGGACTGCTATCAAAATGTTACCTTATATATTACTATCCCTGCACCTGCCTCTTTCTTTTTGTCTGGTAATGGGCAGGAGCTTATGGCAAGAGAGAATCAACTGACAGAAACAGCAGTATAAATTCTGGTACTCATAGAAAGTAACAAATATGAATAGCTTTTCATAGGTTTTCATAATGTGCCAAACGACTAAGACGTTTGGCGCATTAGTTTTTTAGATGTGATAGTAATCTGTTAATTTTCTGCATTTGTGTTGCACAAATAACAGTTCTATTTACCTCCCTGCGAAAAACCAGGGAGTAGGGTGTGGCCTCCCTCAGTGCCACCGGGCCAATCGCCCTCTCCATCACTGCGTCTGATCTGTCACAGACTACAGGGCACACTTGGAGGGCGTCAGGGGCCTGGCGTGGGCCTGCAGAGCTCTTGGGCGGCCTCCTAAATGATGCGCCTGACACACGGTGCATGTGCAACAGCTGTCCCATCCTCTAAACGCACTGAGCTACAGCGCGGTCCACTGTGAGAAAGCCAACACCGGGCGCGGGGCAGGGTGAGGGAGCACGGAGGAGCGCTCTCCCTGCATCAGCAGCCAATCCTGGGCCACGTCTCCAGTCACAGGCGCGCGTGAAGGCTCCTGTGCCGGTATTCACTATTTGTACAACAGGCTGCGCTGAATAAAATGGATTGTGCGGTCTGGACTGACAGACCCGCTTTTTTCTTACTTGTGAGTACCTGTAAAACGAGAGAGAGGAGGCAGCGAACAGGAGCAGCGATGCGAGGGACGCGAGGGCGTGAAGGACCGAGTCGGGGGAGAGGAGGGGTCCGCGGCTGTGCCCCGCGTCGGGCGGAGAAGACGGGCGCTCCCTCGAATGGAGGGGGAGCGGCGTTCCCGCGGCCGCCGGAAGGGACCCAGCGCGGGGGACGAGGCGCTGGTGCCCCGGGGCCTGGAAAGGGGCACTGTCGAGAAAAATGGACCCTACCTACAATTCCTTTAGCATCCCCCGCCGCCCCAGGAGCGGCCCTGGCACCCAGCAACCGCCGCGGAGACCGCGCGCCGCTCTGGCAGAAGCCGCCAGGAGCGGACCTCTGCGAGGGTCACGGGGCCAGGCTGAAGGCCGCGGGCGCGGCGGGGGCGGCGGGGCGGGGCGGAGCGGGCGGGCCGGCGGGGCGGGGCCGGGGGCGGGGCCTGAGCGGGCGGGCCGGCCGGCGGGGCAGGGTCGGGGGTCGGGGGTCGGGGTCGGGGCGGGCCTGAGCGGGTGGGCCGGCCGGCGGGGCAGGGGTCGGGGTCGGGGGTCGGGGGCGGGGCCTGAGGGTGCAGGCCGGTGGGGGCGGGGCGGGGCTGGGCTGGCGGCGGCGGAGCCTTCCAGTGGCTTGGCGGCCGCCTCGGCCTGCGGAGGCGTGGGTTCCAGGATCACCTGGGACCGCCTGATGTGTTTTCAAGTCTTTTCTGACTATTGACCTACTGGGTTATAGAAGTCCAGGGACAGAGTTGACGTCACAGAGCCCGTTAGCCAAAAAACAGCGCCAGGGGCTGCACGTGCCAGAAGTAATTTATCAAAACTCAGATCGTATTTCCCCTTAAATCAGCTTAAGTATAGTGCAATCGTAAAAGGGCATAGTCTGTGGGGTCATGACCGTCAGGGTTCAAAGTTCAGAGCTGCCACTTTTTAGCTATGGGACCACCGGCAATTACATGATCTCTTTGAGCTTCGGTTTTCTCACTGTAAAGGATGTGGTGGTGAGAATAAATGAATTGATACCTGGCAAGTGTCTGGAATAGGGCTTGGTACAAAGTAAACACAATATCCTGTTATCAGTATAGAACCTTTGGCTTTTCCCCCCTCACGAAATAACCTTCATAGGAAACAAATGAATGCAGAACTGCTCTGGTTGAAGGTGGGCCCAGAAGCCTTGATTTCTCAATCCCAAAGGTTGTCTATAAGGTTCCTCTAATGGAATCTCCAAGCTTCCTAAAATATAGACAAAAACAACTATTATGGGAGAATGTCCAAACTTCTTAGAAGGACAAACTGCCCTTTTGTATCTAATTTTTCTTGTGATAATCCGAACTTTTCCTCCTGCAGACAGTACTCCTTTTTGCCTCTGTGTTTTTTCTAAAGTTTGTCTATCGGCAGTGTTTTTCTCCTTTTCCTATTTATCACTTAAGATCTGATTCAGATTACAACTCTTTCTTGGGTGACAATGAGAAATTCTCTTTTCATTGTAACCCCCTCCCACCTTCAGCATGGTGTAGACATCTCAGCAAAGATGGAAAGTTATTTTTCTCCTTGTTTTAGAAGAGTAGACAAAGTCTTTTGTGCTTATAGGGTTAAACGCTTTGTTCTCATGGTAGGGAAAGGGAAAGCAGGTAGATCCCCAAGGATACTGGGAGGAAGGACCTTTGAGAGAAGTCCGATGACCTCCAGGGCACGGCTCTGTGCCTCAGATGCAGTAGACTGCTGGAGGTGAAGTGCTTCCGGGTCCATCTAAGGAAGTGAAGGGCACATCAACAAATGGCGTTTTGGAATTCTCACCAGGTCAGAGGGCTCAGGCCAGATTTGAGTTAGTCAACTAACACTTGTGATGTTACTTGCTCCCAAAATGGCATGAAGCAATTCCCACCTGCTACGGAGAACTACAGAAATTATTCATATAGAAATACGTTCAGAAATGTTTAAAAAATAATGTCCTTCATTTATTTAAGGACAATGTGATGAACATCTAATAATGGATTAAACAACATCTAAAGAAACATCTGATATTTTTTCTCATAAAAAATTAACAGCAAATTAAAAATAATTAAATTGTTTATATTAGCATCAATGCCATTGAAAGCAAAAAACTTCTGAGGAACAAGGAGAACCTTATTCATGACAGCATTTTTCAATAAATTTAATATGATGAAAATAGTTTTTTTTTTTTAAAGATTGGCACCTGAGCTAACAACTGTTGCCGATCTTTTTTTTTTTTTTCCCCTGCTTTATCTCCCCAAATCCCCCCTGGTACATAGGTGTATATCTTAGTTGCAGGTCCTTCTAGTTGTGGCGTTTGAGACGCCGCCTCAATGTGGCCTGACGAGCAGTGCCATGTCTGCGCCCAGGATCCAAACCAGCGAAACCCTGGGCCACCGCAGCAGAGCACGCAAACTTAACCACTCAGCCATGGGGCCGGCCCCAAAAATAGTTTTTAAAATATCTTCTATATAAATGGTTCTGTACTTCTGAAAGCACTTCAATAAAAATAGAAATTTGGCTAATGATATATTTGGTAGGAATTAAGTGCCAATCTTCTCTTCCAGTCTTACCTCTCACTAATTCTATCAACCTTAAGTGTCAATCATTTACTATATCCTAAGCTTTACTGTTTTTAAACTTTGCTAATATACTGGCCCTCCACCTACTTATTCCTTTCTTCACCTTACTCCCTAATATTAACCCACCAATGCAAACCATAGCCACTCTTGAAGGTCCAATTCAAGTGTCATCTCCTTTAAGAAGTTCCCCTCACTCACACTCTGAATCCTTCCTTTGGATTACAGCTATTTGTACATATTTTATTTTCTTGTAAGGTTCTTGGAGGCAAGTATCATGTCTCATTCATATTTGTATTCCCCACAGGGTCAATCTCCCAACTAGAATACAAGTTCCACCAAACAGAGCCCTTGACTATCATGTTCATCACTGTATTCCCCAGCAACCATAATGCCTGGCACATAGTAGGCATGTTATGAGAATATTTCGAGTGAGTGCATGAATGGATTTTAAAACATAAGCTCCATGAAGGCAGGGATTTGTCTGTTTTATTCATTGCAAAGTGAATATTTGAATATTACCAGGTGAATAAATGATTTTTTTGGAAAGCTTAGCATTCATTATAGACAACAAAAATTCTTCAATCTATATATCTTCACGGAACTCAAATATAAAGTATTTATGTTACCTTTTACCCAACTAATTCAGTGGATGATATATCTTTCTGAAAATAAGACACCTCCCAAAACTGTAAGAGCAAAATTTAAAAGAATCATAAAATGGGTGTTTACATTAAGAGTAGTTTCAGTTTTCTTCTTTGCACTTTTCTGTGTTCTAAATTTTCTGCAATGGAAATATATTATTTTGTAATCAGAAAAAAATAATATTATTTTTAAAGAATGTAATGGATGAGATCATTTGCATATCTATGGCTGAGGAAATTTTGAGGACACTCAAATCTCATCAGGGTTATTTGGAGCTAATACTTAAAGAGCTGAAACTTAGTCTGCTTAAAAAAAAAAAGAGCGTCTCAGAGGGAAGATGGATGACACCAGCCCTAGGAGAAAAGGGCACTGAAACAAGAATTTATTCTGTTTATCTAGCACCATCCTTGGAACTCTGACACCCCTGCTGTGGACTGAATTGTGTCGCAGCAAATTCTAACCTCCAGTGTGATGGTATTTAGAGGTAGGGCCTTTGGGAGGTGACTAGGTTTAGACGAGTCTTGAGGGTGGGGCTCTCATGATGGGATTAGTGCCTTATAAGAAGAGACCAGAGAGCCTGCACACTCTGCCCCAAACCCCTCTATTTCCCCACCATGTGAGGACACAGGGAGAGGAGGCTATCGGCAAGCTAGGAAGAGAGCCCTCATCAGAGCTTAATCGTGCTGGCACCCTCCTGTTGGACTTCAAGTGTCTAGAACTGTGAGAAAGTCAACGTCTGCTGTTTAAGCCCCTCCGTCTATGGTGTTTTGCTGTAGTAGCCCGAGCTGACTGAGACAGATGAAGCAGTCTAAGATCTGAACTCTTAAGTGGCAAGGAGTTTTCTGATACTGGAAGAGGATCTCCTGATTCGGTCAACAAACATTTATTAAATGCCTACTGTGTTCCATGCCCTGTGCAAAGTGCTGAGGATTCAAAGATGACCAAGGCAAGGCTCCCACCCCTAAGGGGCTGATTTAATAGGAGACAAACCTGTAAAAAAAAAAAAAAAACTGAAAAAAGGGTTCTAAGTCCTCTGACAGAAGTGTGTGTAGGGTACATACAGCCTTCTTTCCGGCACCCAGAGGTTAAAGTAACCCTTTCTATCTGTGGTTGGGGTGGAGTAAATTAGCTTGGTGGGAGTCAACACTCTGTATCAAGTTAACTCTGATTTCACCAACCAAGTCAAGAGCTGCGACTTAGGATGTGGTGATGAACCTGAGACTTCACACGGTGAGCCCTGCAGACGCCAGTACTGGACAGAGTCACAGAGATTTAGACAGTGGCCATCCACCGAGGAGAGGGAGGAAAGAGCCTGCTGCCTGCTGTGCAAAATGGAACACGCTATCGGCAGGGGCTTAGTGGGCTCTTCAACTATTTCTTCACACTGAATTTCCATTTCTGATACTTCTTTGGGGACTTGGATATTTATAATAACATTCTCATTTACTTATACTAACTGTACTTTGTATAAGTTAATAAGTGTTCAAAGCCTGGTACTTAAACTACTGGTGAAGGTGGGAACGAGCGCTAACTGCTGCCCCCTTCGGTCTCACGTGCCCTTTGCTGTCCAGGTCCCCATCGTCCCCCACGTCCCAGCCGAGGCCACCCCCTGGATTAGCTGGGGGCTCCTGCTGCGAGCTCCCTAGCACTCCTGTACTTCTTGCCTTACAGCACTTATCACACCATTCTTCAATCTCTTGTTTAATTGTCTCTCTCTTCTATCAGACTGTCAGATCCTTAAGGACACGAACAATATTAGTCTTAATAATGTGCCTGGGTCACCAAAGCCCTTTAGTAAGTATTTGTTGAATGGATCTAGTTTCAGAGTCTGTGAAAGTGGAGGACCAGATGAGCATTTGGTTTATGGTACCACCAAGGGGCACCTAACCAACGAAGTGCAGTTTGAAACATCCGTCTGAACTTCGGCATGAATTAACCCAGTCCAAACTGAGAGCACAAACACTAAGGGAATATATTACCATGGAGTAACCAGTGTCAGGCTGACATAAAAATTAAGCCTGTTAAGGCTTCATATTGTGTTAGCTTAATAAGAATTAAGCTAGTTTTGGACAGGGGTGAAAGTCATGGTGGCAGTGGCTGGAATGGTAGTCTAATGATGAGAGGAGTGGACAGGCTATATGCAGATCAGCTTGGTGGGATCAGAAGATTCTAATTCATTCATTTAATACGTATTTAATATCTCCTTCAAGATTAGCTTCAACTTCAAATTCTAGATTAAAGAGTTTAGATGGGAAGTGATAAGTAATAAACGCTTCAGGTATACAACATGATAAAAGGTGTAAACTGTATTTAAACATGATTATTCTAGCAACTAGGCAGGAGTTGACCTAGACTAAAGAGAAACTTATGGGTGATACACAAAGCCAAGATGGTCTGTTGAATAAGTGGGATAAAATATGACCTATGCAGATAAGCCTTTCTTCTAATATCGTCTCTGTTGTCATGTCACAACGTCTGAAATTCCTGCCACAGAAGTCAGTTTTTTGGTCAAAGGTACTATCTTTAGAAAGCCCTTGTTAACACGCAAGAACATGCTACTAAGTGATGGTAACACCCAATACAATGGTACCTCTGACTCCCAAATCTGATCTTTCCATCTTCATAGGAATGTGAATGTTTATTGACAGACACTTCTCAGCTTCCTCATAGGTGGGTGTGGTTATCACCAATAGAAGGTAAGAGAAGAGATGTGTCTAACTTCCTCACAACTTTCTTAAAAATAAATTGCTTGCCTTGGACTTTCTTTTTTCCTTCTTCCTGAAGGCTAGAAAGGAGACATGGGAGAGATCTACTTCCAACCTGTGTCCTAAGCTAGGGCGTGGCGGAACATCAAGACAGAAGGACACAAATCAGGGCTGGCCTGGTGACACAGCAGTTAAGTTCGCACATTCCACTTTGGCGGCCCCAGGGTTCGCTGGTTCGAATCCTGGGTGCGGACATGGCACCACTTGGCAAACCATGCTGTGGCAGGCATCCCACATATAAAGTAGAGGAAGATGGGCATGGATGTTAGCTCAGGGCCAGCCTTCCTCAGCAAAAAGAGGAGGATTGGCAGCAGATGTTAGCTAATCTTCCTCTGAAAAAAAGAAAAAAAGGACACACATCTCAGTAGACCTCATGAGCAGAGTAACCCTGTCAGCATTGACCAGGCAGCCAGTTTCATGAGAGGGAAATAAATTTCTATTTTCTTTTAAGTACTGTATTTCTTGTTTGTTCATTGTAGCAGCTTAACTTACCCTGATTAATACGATATTCTTGAGAGTGGCATAGATTTGAAAATTGGCTCTCTGTCACCTAGAGAACAGGAAGAGCCTGAAGACGTGGGTCACAAGAAACAACTAAGAAAGGGCTAGACCAGGGCACGTCTTAGCGGGAGGCAAACTCAGAGGGGCCACTGAAGTGGGGGACTCTGTGGAGCCAGCCAGGAAGTAGAATGAGGGCTTTTGTCATCCAAACAGGTGCAAGAGGAAGAGCCAATGAAGATACTTTGTGTACATAAAAATTTTGGTGGGGCCAATCAGTTACAATACTTCACAGAAAGGTAGTAAGAGGGGCAGAAATGGAGAAAAGGCAGATTAACAGGGAAAGCGAGGGGAGAAACTGATGAGAGATTACAATGTATTTAAAAAGAAAAGAGGATCCAAAAACAACTCAAGGCATGAGAGGCTAGGTGGCCACGCATCATAAAACTGTGGCGGCAACAGTAACTCAGAGCGAGCTGTTGGCCAGCAGAACGCCACACCGAACTCGGTCTTTCCCCTGTTAATCTGATATCGTGGTAGTACATTAAAGAGTATTTCTCCCCACACAGATTAAGATAATGATGGAGTGTTTGAAGAAAAAAAGAAGAAGATAGAGAAATCAGGCTAGAAATGTAGAACATTACCACCTACATGGAAAGGGTAATGGCTGAAAATGCTGTTTAAAGAAATAACCACACTTTAAGTTCTGTTACATTTTAAGCTTAAATATTATATATTTCAAAATCTATCTTGATAAAAGCAGCATCTGGTACAGCTTTCTAATCATATATTCAGCATTCTCTCTTTTCACCTCTAAACTTCTTCAGAGGGCTCTCCTCGAACTTCTCCATCATTATTTTGATGTGCAGCTTTCTGGAGAAGCCTGGGGCCCAGCAAACCAATGAGGAGACTTCCAATTGGGGCTGTGATGAGGATGGACAAAAATGCCACTGTCAACACATCCATTCCATAGTCTTCTAATTGTTTCTCTCCATGTGACCTTGCTGTGTCCAAGGCCACGGATCCTATTGCAGCCTGTAAAAGTTTAATGGTAAAGTTGGACACAGGCACATAAGACAGGCACATAGAAAAAAGGTGAATTATTTTATCATTTGCAAAAACAAACTGCTTGTTCTTTTGTTCAACTAAGAAAGTTCTTTCTTTCAAAGTGTACTGCACTTGGTTTTGGTATTCTGAAAATTCTCCTGCCCTGGCATGGGGAAGGGATGGTGATTCATATGTACCTAGTTGCAGAAGGCAGCGTTACAAAAATATCAGGCAAATATATTTCAAAACACAAGGTAAATACAGCCTCATGATATAATTGACTGTAACATGATTCTGTATACTAAATTCCTTATGAGTAAAGAAAGTCACTGGTCATCTCACTCTTTTATCTTCAGGAATCTGGAATTAAAAAAGAACAAGATGAAAAAGTGCAGTGAGCCCTGTGGCTGAGTGGTTAAGTTTGCACATTCCACTTCAGCGGCTGAGAGTTTTGCTGGTTTGGGGGTGGACATGGCACCGCTCATCAGGCCATGCTGAGGCGGCGTCCCACATAGCGCAACCAGAGGCACTCACAACTAGAATATACAACTGTGTACTGAGGGGCTTTGGGGAGAAGAAGAAGAAGAAATAAGATTGGCAGCAGATGTTAGCTCAGATACCAATCTTTTAAAAAAAAGTGTAGTGATACTTACTGGAAGATGGCAAAGTTTTAAGTGAAAAAACATAAGAATATGTATTGCTATAGAGCTAAACTAATTGTTAAACATCAAGAAACTTGAAAGTGGTAGGCACTGTCAAAACTTGAAGGTAATCTTATTAGGTATTTGGTGAACTCTTTGCCTTAGGTCTTGGTGAAATGTTTTGTTTAAAATTTATCTACTGGGAAGTATTATGAAAACTTTCATTTTCTTTTAGAGGCAAAATGCCATATTAGTGCACTTGGGAAAATAATATATTAATCAATCTGGTTATTCCCTTATTCCACAAAACACAACAATGTTGTCCTCTAGGACAATGAATCAGAAGAGAGAATGCTGGTGTGGATGAGACACAATGGCAGAGACTACTAATTGCCCACAAATATCTGAATGCCCCTTTTCCCTTCTAAACTAGAAGTCCTGAGTGTTAGCTGGTCACATTGCTGTCCAAACCAAGACTTTTTTTTTCATCCTTCTTTGCAACTAGATGAAGCTATATATCTAAGTTCTGGCCACTGAGAGGTGAGCAGAAGTGATAAATGCTACTTTTGGATTGTTCCCTGAAGAGAAATGGACACTTGCACATCATTCTTTTTCCCCTTACCCCCGATGAGAAATGGTGAACTGATGGAAGGCACATGCTGAGGACAGTGTCACCCTGCCAGCTCTGGAGTGCCCATGCTGGACTGCTGGTGGGAGAGAAGGAAAAATCTATCTCACTTAGTCCCTGTATGTGAGGGCTCTTTGCTATTTCAGGTTCCTTGTACCATAACTAATTCAACATTTCATGAATTCTTGGCAAGAACTGCACACATTACAATGTATATTTCTCTTTCAGTTCTCCATTGTGTGTGTAATGTTTTTGTGTGTGTATGTTTTGAGGTTTGTAGGTATGCTGAGTTGTGATTTAAAATATATTTCGTACAGCAGGTCATGGACCAAAAAGTTTGAAGAACACTAATATGGAAAAAAACATACAAGAAAGTCTTGTTTCTTAGGCAGTGGCAAAAGAAGAAAAAAGAAAATTCCATACAATACTTGCTTCACAGTACATACATTATTCACCACATCCAAGATAATTTCTCCTTATTATAAATCTGCTTTGATAGCAGGAAAGTGCTGTCTTTCAAATTTTAACCTTTAGAAACAAATCTTTCAAACCAAAGCTACTAGAGTAATTATTTTGATATTTACCTAATAAAGTTACCAGAAGTAGTGTAGAAGCTGGAGACACTGAGGGAGAAACTATTCCACTTATTGTACCATATAAACCTCACAGTATTCTTAGCTATTATGTCCCAGACATCTTTCAAAGTCTGATGAAAAAAAAAAACTTCTCTGGGATAATGCCCAAACCTATAGCCACACCAAATCTGGCATGTAGTTACAGAGTATACGCATCCCTCAAAGCTTCCTAAATTAAAAATATCTGATTTTCATCTCATGAAATAGAAATTTACATATTTAAATAATTGCAAAATAATCAAGGATGGAACAGTTAAATCTTGTTTGCTATAATTAGTCTGAAAATATACAATACAATCAGGGCTATTTGCAACAAATGATAATCTATACAGTTCTAATTTAATTAGCAATTATAGGTATTCTACCAAATCCATGGTCAATAATTTCAAGCACCTGTTAGTGCCTTGTTAGAGTGCACAAATTTTGGGTCATGAGATTGAGACAACTGACAGGAAGTACAGCTAGTTTGAAAAATTTAATATTAACTAATAATCTAGGAAATCAATAAAGCATTTTCTGAGTTGTTTCTCAATAAATGTTTCTCCATTATATATAAAGACTGAGGTCGAGCATAACTGATCATCAATCATATTGACAGTGAAGTATTTCCAAACACTAACATGGGCCATGCTATTTCTGTTTCACTCTCTTCTTAGAAGACATCAAAACGAAAAGGGTTGATAGCTCTCTAGGTGATTCAGAGAGCTCTGACTGATGAAAATTCAAACTCTTCCCTCCCTCTACTACTGCTTTCTAGTAACATAGGGATGTATTGGATTTTCAGTTGTACCCTGGAGATCTAAAGAAATTTAAATGAGCCATCATATTAAAGGAATCAGCATACCAAAACTAAAACTTTTAGAGTAGATTAGTAAAAATTCTTTTCATAAATCAAACTTTAGTTACTTTTGTTCACCAAATTTGGACAAGCCCTCTTATTCAAAATTTTAAGGGATCATATTGAAATAGGAGTTAAGATCCATCATTACCTGGACAGTGGCCTTTGGAAGCCATGCAAATGAAATAAATATCTTTTCCTTTATGTTAAAACCAGCAAAACACACCATCAGAAATGTAGTCAAAATTCGTATCAGTACTGCAATACCCAGGGTGGCAACACAAAGGCCTGTAAGAAATACTCAATTTTTAGACATAACGAAATACTGGGGAAGAAATGGAATCTCCTGATTATTGATTCAAAGTTCTATCAACAGAAATAATCTAAAAACATTAAAAAATTAAAAAGACAAAAATGATTAGGCATAATTTGTCAAAACATCAATATTAAGGATCAATCAGACCATTTGTTTAAAAGAAGGTATTTGCCCTAAATTAAAGCCAGAAATTAACTAAATATATTTGAATTTCCACAAAGGAGATTTGAATGTTATTTATCTTATGCTTTATAGCAAGAACCACACTTTTTCCCATGTGTTTATTTAACAAGAATTTATTAAACTATAACTACGCATAACAGAATTTGGACTAGGTTCTGGTACCCAAACACGCATAACGTACAGACTTTGCCTCCATGAACTCCAGAGTCAGAGGAAGACAGAAACATAAAGAACCAAAAGGTGAGTGCAGTGTAAACATACCGGTAAGAGGGCACAGAAGAGGAAAAACTTAATATTTTCATCAAAGTGGTTGAGAATTCTTTACAGAGGATAAGACCAGAGGTGATATTCAAAATATTTATCAGCAAGTATGGAGGCAATCAGGCAGTCAGAAGAGAGCTGGCTGGGCACTGACCAGTCAGAATAGACACTGGCTTCTACACCTGTTTCAGCATACTGGTGTGCGCACTGACTGCCCATCACCCTGGCTGACGTGTACAGCTACTTCGTTCAGTCCTTCAGAATCCTTTGCTGATAAAGGTAAGTTCATTCTGACTTGCAAAATAAGAGATTGTGACTAGGGCAAGGCAAGCTACCGGACCTGAGAAAGGCAAAGCTAAGGTGAGTACTAGGTAATAGGGTGGTTTTTGAAAAAGTAACATTTGTTGAGTGCTTACTCTGTGCTAGGTTCTGTACTAAGCTTTAAACGCATCACTTTACTTAATCTTTACAACCTGTGGAGTAATTATTCTCACTTTACAGTTGAAAAAAAATGAAGTTCAGAAAGTACAAATAACTTTCTCAAGTTCAAGAGGCTGGTAAAACACCAGACAGACATTGCTTGATGCTCTATTGTGAATCTGCAACACGGTTTCTTTATGAAAAGGTTCTGTGGCTCTTTATTGGAGGGTATTTTTCCCAGCTTGGTAGATTTTCAAAAGTATTTGTTGCCTTAAGTACAAGATACAAAAGGGACGATCCCATTCCCAGGAGGGAGCAGTCTGGGGAGGACGATGAGGAAGCCTTGGACACACTGAGGCTCAAGTTTTGTGGGATTTACAAGTGGTGATGTCCAAGCAGCAACTGGCTATGTTGAATTCGAGATAAAGATTTTGCAATTACACAGTTTATAATCGAAGCCACTGAGTGTAGCTGAGCTCATAGAAATGACACCCAGCGTGAAGTGTAGAAATCTTTTGAAAGAACTTGGAGGAAGAGCAGCACTTAAGCCATATATAGTGTAAAGGAAGACTCAGAGGGCACTGGAAAATGTAAAAATTCAACGTAAAAAGTGTTGTAAAGAGGTCAATAGCGTCCAATGCTGCTGAGAGATCAAGTCAAGTCAAGACTGACACGTATTTCGTGTATCCAGCAATACGACCGTGGTGAGGGCAGGGCTGGTTGTGGAATGGGGCAGAAGCTGGGCTGAAATGTTCTGAGGGAGGGCATGAGAGTTGAAATGGAAAAGGGGGACACAGTTACCTCTTTAGAAAAGTTTGAAAAGAGGAAGAGAGAGAGAGAGTGGTAGGTGAGGGGGGAAGTGAAATGAAGAAGGGATATATATATATATGTATATATATTTATTCAAATTTTGACTGTGGTAAAATACACGTAAAATTTACCATCTTAACAATTTTTAAGTGTACAGTTCAGCAGCATTGTTAAACATTCACATTTTTGTGCAACCAATCTCCAGAACATTTTCATCTTGCAAAACTGAAACTCTACACCCATTAAACAGGAAGTCCCCATTTCCCCGCCTAAACCCTGGCAGCCACCGTTCTCCTTTCTGTCTTTATGAATTTGACTCCTCTGGATGCCTCATAGGAGTGGGATCATGCGGGATTTGTCTTTCTGTAACTGGCTTATTTTACCCAGTGTAATGTCCTCAGGTTCATCTATGTTGTCACATGTGTCAGAATAGAAAGATACTATTTTAAGATAGGAGAGATTAAAATCTGTTTCAATTCTGCAGAAGAGAAAGCTGTGACAAGGATATCTGAAGATGTATCAGAAAAAGGGGAGAATCTATGTGTGAGATCTAGAAGGAGGTGGCAGGGATGGGATCCCTAGTATGGATGGAATAATACTGCGATGCAAGAAAAGAAGGAAATAATGAGTACAGGTCTTTCTTGATTGACGATGGGGCTACATCCTGATAAACCAATCATAAGTTGAAAGTCAACTTTAAGTCAAAATATTGTAAGTCAAAAATACACTCTGGGCTAGCCTGGTGGCATAGTGGTTAAGTTTGCACCTGCTGCTTCAGCAGCCCAGGGTTCCCAGGCTTGGATCCCAGGTGTGGACCTAGCACCGCTGTCAAGTCATGCCGTGGTGGCATCCCACATACAAATTAGAAGAAGAGTGGCACAGATGTTAGCTCAGCGACAATCTTCCTCAAGCAAAAAGAGGAAGATTGGCAACAGATGTTAGCTCAGGGCCAATCTTCCTCACCAAAAAACAAAAGAAGGAAAGAAAGAAAGAAAAGAAAGAAAGAAAGAAAAAGAAGAAAATGCATTTAATACACCTAACCTACCAAATATCATACCTTAGCCTAGCCTACCTTAAATGTACTAGGAACACTTACATTAGCCTACAGTTAGGCAATCATCCAACACAAAGCCTATTTGATAATAAAATGTTGACTATCTTATATAATTTCTTGAATACTTACTGAAACTGAGAAACAGAAAGAGTAGAAGTGTATGGGTCGTTTACCCTCATGATCCTGTGGTGACTAGAGCTGCAGCTCACTGGCGGCTGCCCAGCATCTCGAGAAAGGATCATATGGCATATCGCTAGCCGGGGAAAAGATCAAAATTCAAAATTCGAAGTATGGTTTCTAATGACTGCATATCACTTTCATACCATGGTAAAGTCAAAAAATCCTAAGTCAAACCATTGTCAGTCGGGGACCATCTGTATATGTGTACAAATTAATTTTTGAGTATGGTACTACAAGTCAACAGTTTTAATATGATGGCTTTTGAATGTATGAATGAATAAAAGAATGAATGAACAAACATTTCTATCCCATGGATACATATTATAGAACTGACTAATTATCTTTAAAATTCTGGCCCTTGATCAGGACAAGCCTAGATGAACATTCTTATCGCTGGAAAAAAATTTTAAGGCCTGCATTTTCTTGATAGTAGTTAAGAGTGACACTTTTCTTTACAAGCAACAATATTTAAGGCATAAAATTTACTGTCTTAGATTGACAAACATTCTTTTCTAACCAACTACTTAAAAGATCAGTATTAACTTTTTATATAATTGTGACAATGGGAACCACCAAATATAAACCTACTAAAGATACTACAACTGAATATAAAAAGTTGATTTTAGCAAAAACACTGCTTTGAAATTCTTACCCACAGTTTCTGGTCTGAGAGATGCAATAGATACCTCTGCTCCAATCAGTCCAAAGAGAAGGGGCTGGAAGATATCCCAGGCCACTGCAATAATCTTTTCAACCTCTGCCTAAAAGAAACACACATACACATATAGGGATTTTTATTATGTGAAGTTAGAAGATCTAAGAATTTTACTAATTTGAAATTTGAGTCAATTTGACCTGAGATAGGCTTTATCTCTGTGGCATCTATAAATAAGAAGGTAGCTAGAATACAGCAAAAAAATTGCATAAAGATACTTCTAACAGTTAAGGTATTACATAAGGTGCTTTGGTGTTGGTTTGCAAAAGGATGTTACCTATAAAGAATCTTATCAAGTCATCTCAGGAGGACTTCAACTTCTGAATACATGATGTGTGTGTCCATAACATAATACTTAGTATTACTTTATAGTTAATTTTCATTCAACAATATGATTAAAAGATCTTGTAATATTTATACATATATCTAGAAATGCACCTCATTATTGCTGCATAATAATGTATGATATGGAAGTACCATAGTTTATTCAATCATTTCTTTATTAATAGACCTTTAAGTTGTTTCCAATTTTATTTTATTATAAAAGAATACTGTTTATGATTATCTCAAATCATGCACAAAAATAAAATTCCGGTATAGTGAAGTGCTGTGCCAGTTATTAACTTATTGCCCCTTGGCTCCAAGTCCTCCTTTCAATTGTTGCTCTGCAGAAGATGGAGCCAGGGGCTGGCCCAGTGGCGGAGTAGTTAAGTTCGCGCGCTCTGCTTTGGCGGCCGCGGGTTTCGCCAGTTCGAATCCTGGTTGTGGATATGGCACAGCTCATCAAGCCACGCTGGGGTGGCATCCCGCATGCCACAACTGGAAGGACCCACAACTAAAAACACACAACTATGTACCGGGGGGCTTTGGGAGAAAAAGGAAAAATAAAATAAAAAAAAAAAAGAAGATGGAGCTGGACCCTTTTAAGTCTTTCCCCTTTGCTAGCTGGACCATATTAAATTTTGCCACTAGAGGGCGCCCAAGAGATACTCCAAGAGGAAGGCACGCGGCAGGTTCGCGGCTCCTCCTAACAGGATCCTTCCGCACCGGGTCCTGCAGCCCGGGTGGCTTCTCCAGAGCCAGGCTCCTAGGGTGTAAGGCGGCCAGCAGCACTCAGCGGTCAGCAGCTGCCCCCAGCCTCCTCCTCGGGTGATTTCATAGCCAACTGCCCTGGGCAACATACCACCCCATACACCCTTAGAGGGTGGATTTCCAGCAACTTCTGCAGGCAGGGTACCACGGTGACTTCTCTGCCATCCAGTGAACCAAGGCTCTAACAAGGCTTGGATTCTCAGCCCTGGGTGCCGAAGTAGGTGGGGTGGGGTGGGGAGGTGGAAGGGGATGCTGTATCTCAGCCCTAGGGGTTTATAGCTGCTATTCCTATATTCTTTAGGGGCCTCTTTACATCTTACAAGACAATCCCCAGTATAGTTAATAATAAGCTTTCCCTATTCCAGTTACTATATGGTTTCTCATTCCTTCTAAGACCCTAATTGATATAAGTACTAACTTTATAACACACAATACAAAAACCCTTGGAAAAGATTGACATAATTGACTAGAATAAAACGAAAATATTTTGTGGCAAAAGAAACCATAAAAAAGGATAGGTGACAAATCAGGGGAAAATATCTGTACTATGTGTAACAGAATAAGGAGCAATATCCAATCAATAAGAAAAAGACATAGAACCTAATCGAAAAATGGGCAAGGCATACGCACAAGTAATTTGTACCAGAAGAAACACAAGGGCCAAAAAACATGAGATACTAAAACTCAGTAATCAGAGAAACACAAATTAAAATGATATACCATATATTTTTTTTGGGGGGGAGCCATCATATTGGAAAAAAACACTAAAAAGTTTTAATAATGTCTAGTATTTATAAGATTGTAAGGAAACTCAGCAATTGGTAGGAGAGCAAATTGATAATGCTTTTTTTGTAGGGCAATTTAGCAGTACCCTTAACAGTGTCTAAGAATTTACATTTAACAGATTTTTTCAATCAACTAATAAGAATCTATGTTTTTGAACGACATTTTAACATTTTTTTTACATCTTTTTTTAACATTTTTACACATCTAAGGATCTGTACTTCCATTTACGTACTCAGCAGTTTGACAAAGGAGGATTACATCGTTTCCCTATTTTCTTAATTTTTGTTATTTCTGGTATGTTTATTAAGGTGAAGATTCTATTTCCTCTTAGTTTATAAATGTTTAAAGACACCATATATGAGGGGGTTGGTTGATTTATTTATATAGTTCTATTCCTATATCATTATAAAGTTATGTTTTCACATCGTAAGGAATCAGATCATGACTGAGGTTCAAATTCTGCCACACACCAACTGCAAGCCACTCGCCTCTCAGCACCTAATTTTCCTCATTTGTAAAATGAGAGGTTTACATTAGATAACGTCCAAGATCCTTTATCACTTAATGACAGTGAATCGTCTGCCAAACTAAGGTCCAGTTGCCACCCTTCTACATATCTTTAAATTTTACTTTTTAATTTAGTTTTTAGAGTATATCATAGCTAAAGTTCAGACTTTAGCTGATATCCATAGTTGTAAAGAACAGAAATCAACTCTATTAATTTTAGGTTACTTAGCCTTCTGTTGCCATGACTAATGGCTTAACAGAAGTCCTCGAAAGTATTTCATGTACTGAGAACTCCAATGAAAGCAGAGGCATAATGAGTTTTCTCTATCAAATTGTTTTTATTTCTAAACTTGGACAAAGGCCACAATTTGTTTTGTTTTTTTTTGCTGAGGAAGATTCGCCCTGAGCCAACATCAGTTGCCAGTCTTCCTCTCTTTTGTATGTGAGCTGCTGTCACAGCATGGCCACTGATAGACAAGTGGTGTACATTTGCGCCTGGGAACTGAACCCAGACCACCAAAGCGGAGCATGCTGAACTTAATCACTAGACCACCAGGGCTGGCCCCACGATTTGGTTTTTGATTGTAATACTGTAGACTAATTTAATATCAGACATGGCCCTATATATTGTAAAACTTAAAGATGAGAGAGGAGCCACAATGTACCTTCTTGTGGGTTTTTTTGTAACTTCAAAACTAAAATGAATCTGTTTATAAAGAAAATGGAGGGGCTGGCCCCGTGGTGTAGTAGTTAAGTTTGGCACACTCCACTTTGGTGGCCCAGGTTTGCAGGTTCAGATCCCAGGCGTGGACCTACACCATTCATCAGCCATGCTGTGGTGGTGACCCACATACAAAGTAGAAGAAGACTGGTGCAGATGTTAGCTCAGTGACAATCTTCCCCAAGCAAAAATAAAAAGAAGAAGATTGGCAATGGATATTAGCTCAGGGTGAATCTTCCTCAGGGAAAAAAAAGAAAGAAAAAGGAGTCATCAAATAGGCTAAGTACAAAAGAAGACATGAGTTCAGAGGAATGAAGTCTGTGGTGTCCACTGAAAGTTAAGGCCACTTTACCTATCTGTATGCACCATTAGTAAGAATCTTCCAAAATGGAAATCACTTTCCATTATGGACAAAAAGAGAAAGTTAAGGGAAACAGAAGTTTCATCATGAGTTAAATATCTACTTAAGCTGACACTTCTCTTCTTAGAGAGAAGATTTCAAGATTCAGAAGATTGAAAATATATCAAGAAAAACATCCTGTAGCTGTTAAAGTCATCAGAAGAAGCACTGCATTTGAAAACAGATGAAAAATATAGATGAAAAAGGCCTTAAAAAAGTGAGTGCATTTGAATACAATAATGGCAAGATTATAAGGAAAACCAAGCAGGAAAGTATGAGATAATGTCAGAAAACTACAGGCGCAAACAAAATTTTATAAAATATTGTAGCTTGTCAAAGCATAATTCAACAACAATATAGCTACAGCACTGAGTTTACAAGTGTTTTATTTCCATTTTCCCACAAAATAGCCACAATAATTCTTTAGTGATTATTATTATTTTCTTCAGTGTACAGTTGAGGAAACTGAGTATTAGAGAAGGTAAGTGACTTGCTTGGGATTACACATCTAGACAGTAGAATCTCTGGGACTGGAATCCCAATTTCCATAGATTAAATTTTATGCTCTTTTTATTACATTGTGCTGCTCAGAGATAGTCATAAAAATTATTAGTGTTTTCTGACTAAGCACTTTGCCTTATATAGATTATTTCACTTAATCCTCCACTCTATGAAGTTGTTGCTATTATCATTCCCCACTTGAGAGATATGGAAATCGAAGACTGAGAAGTCAGATACTTTGTACATGGGCATACAGCTACTCAGGTGTAGGACTGAGCTTAACCCAGGAAGTCTGAGTGCTCAGACCCTATGCTACACCATGGAACAAGGAGGAAAAGCAGTCCAAAACCTGGACTCATTGGTTTGGTGCCTCCAGAAGTAGGGACTTGCCTGAGTACTAAATTAGAAAAGATATGGAGAGTGTCTGCCACATAAGTGATTCAATGAAGATTTTTTTACCCTGTCTTTAGGAAATCATTTTCATATACTCAAACAGTGTGTTTTCATCCTGGCTCTGCCACTTATTAGCTTGGTGACCTTAGGCACTCTATCTACTATCTCTAGGCCTTGGTATCCTCATTTGTAAAATGGGTCTCATATCTACCTCTCAAGGTTATTGCAAAGAATAAATGAGATAACATAGGTAAGATTTCACTAGGAAAGAAATCTTTAAGAAAAAATAAACTGAGGAAAGGTCATAATAAGAGATTGATAGATCGGACCACATGAAACTATAAGATATTTGTGTGTTAAAAATGAACAATAAAAAAAGGTACCAAGGGCTAATATCATATATATAATCAGTACATTCAACTTTAGGAGATAATGGACAAAAAACCTATCAAAGAAAAAGAAAAAATACAAATAGCTAAATATATGAAAAAGCATTCAATTTTATTGTTAAGCAAGGAGGCATAAAACAAAAAAAGATACCACTTTTGACTATCAGTAAGGATAAAAATTAAAAACAATAATATTCTAAGGCAGTGTTTCACAAAGTGTGGTCCCCAGGGAAGCAGCATCAGCATCACCTGGTAACTGATCAGAAGTGCACATTCTCAGGCCCCACCGTAGTCTAACTAAATCAGAAATTCGGGAGTGGGGTCCACAAGTCCAATTTAACAAGACTTCCAGGTGGTGCTAAAGTTGGATAAACATTATTCTAAGCTGATGACGATGTAATGAGATAGGTACCTCACATATTACTGGTGGAAAAGTAAATGGATACAACTCTAGAAAGCAACCAGTTTGGTAATACGTGTCAAAAACCTAAAAATGTTCATGTTATTTGACCCCAAAAATTTAGCATTAAGAATCTGCCCTAAGGAAACGATATTGGATTTCAGCATAATTTAAAATAGCAGAGACTGGTTTTAAAAAGCTTATGGTGCATCCACGTGTGTGTGTGTGTGTGTGTGTAAAGAGACATACATAGGAGATTAACCAGAGGTAAATATGAAAAAAAAAGCTGTCAGTTCTCTCTCTGGGTTTTGGGATTACATTGATCTTCTATGTAATCAGCCAGGCTGCTGGCAATTCAGGCAAAGTTATGGCAAATGCAGAAAAACAGATGATTTGTTTGGTTTATAACGGTCTTTTCTACATGACTCACATCCTAGTTTTCTGAAGAATCGTGTAACCGGAACTGGCCGGGCCCCCTCCCTTGTCTTCTGCGCAAGTGGCTCACGTCCACTTGCGGTGGGCACCCGTCTTCCCCTCGACGTCTGTTGCTAAAACTACTCTTTCATGTTCTATTCCAAATGATATGGTTCCTTTTCACTGTTTATTTTTTTATCCTATCATTTATTAATTTACAAACAATCTTAAATTGCAAAGTTTAGAAGTATAATGTTTTTAATACACTTGCTATATGTTATTCGAATAGATGTCAAAACATAAAAACGTGCCCTGCACAATGATGGTATATTCTGGTCACTTTGGAGTCGATAAACCTGAGGTTAAATCCCAGTGCCACTTTCTAATTTTGTGACCTTGGACATGTTATTTAAGTCCTTCTGACTTACAGTCTCTATAAAATGTAAATGGTAATATTTTTTCAAAGGTTTTTTTGATGAGAATAAATGAGAATATCCCCTCAGTGGCTAGCACAGGGCCATACGGAGTGGCAATAAAAATTGATTAATTCTCTTCCCTCTTTTCACCCATGACAGTATAATATAATGAGTTGGTTGTAATTTTTGAAGACTTTTAAACAAGTGACAACAGAAAGCATTTACCTATAAAATTCAATTTGAAGAAACTTACTACAAGCATATTTGAGAATTTTCCTGTTGAATAAATGAAAGGAAATAAACCAAAATAGTTTACAGAGCTGTTGGCTTTAGGTGGAGAAATTACAAATCATTTTTTTCTTTCCTTTTATCTGACTTTTAAAAAATTTTTCAAAGTTCTACAATAAGCATATACCGCTTTCATACTCAGAAATCAAATAAACTTTATTCTAAACAATAGTCTCTTTGGTAATTTATTTTTTTAAATGCTAAAAAAGGTTACCAATAAAAAGTGAAGGGACAGTTTGTAAAATGCTAATGTCAGGCAAGCTCCCAGATGCTCGACAAGGGTCACAGTGCACACACAGTGGCATGCCTTCACGGAGTGAAGACTGCGAGCTCTGTCCCGGACAAGGGGGCCAGAGTGCTCCGAGAGCAGTGCGCAGCCCAGGCAGGATGGAAGGCACTCAGCAGTGAGTGCTCAGCGAGGAGCCAGGGAGCTGAGATCAGACCCGAGACTGAAAGCAATGTGTGATCACCTGCCTCGGCCTGCAAGGAAAGTGAAGCCACGGAAAAGCAAATTTTGACAAGAGCAAATGTTTACAAGAGATGAGGGATGATAAGAGGACCCAATTTATACTGGGAAGTTTATGTTTTAGCTTTCCTCTTGTCAGATGTTAAGTTACTTGAAATCACAAAGGAGAATTTAATAATACGGGTGCTGCTAAGGAAAAAAAAGTAGACCTGAAATAAGCCTTACAGCCAAGCCTCCCCAGGAGGACGCAGCAGCCCTGGGCCCATGCAGTGCCTGCAGCAGGGCTCTGCAGAGCCTTGCTCCTTGCCTGCAAAGCCCAATCCACTGCGGCCTGCTTTCCTGGGGCCTCAGTCCCTTATCTACACAAGGCTCCAGGCAGCCCCACCAATCCACCCTCCTCTACAGCAAAGGGATGCCCAGCTGCACATGTCCTGCCTCCCGAGTGAAAGCCTCCAACGGAGTGCCATGTGCCCACAGTGAAGCCCTGCCTCTACAGACCTCTGCAGAGACCGCTCACCTGCAGGGCACTGCACACCCAACCTCAGGACTGATAATCAACATATATTTTTCATGTAGTATTATTTTAAGCTGAATTATTTTGAACAGTTGTCTTCGGTTTTCCCAAATGATATATGTGTATTTAGTTTAGGTCACCTACATCTAATTTCTTCATGAAGCAGAATAGTATATGATCCTCTCAAGTTCAAATCCATAAAAATGTATCTTGAAATTAAATAAATGGCAACCAGCTAATTTCCATAATACACATAAAGGAAATGAATAATTTTAATGATCTTGAAAGTCAGTAAGAAAAACAGACAATCATAAAAAATGGGCACAGGCTTTTGAATAAACTGGCTAGTAAATATATGACAAGATGATTAGCTCCACTTGTAAAGAAATACAAATCAGATCAATAATGAGAAACATTTTTCACCTGTCAGATTAGCAAAATATCTAAAGATTGAAAGTACACAGATCAGAAAAACAGATCCTTTCACAAACTGTTGGTGGGAATATAAATTGGTACTGCTGTTTAAGAGGGCAACTCGAGGGGCTGGCTGCGTGGCTGAGTGGTTAAGTTCATGCACTCTGCTTTGGCGGCCTGGGTTCACCAGTTTGGATCCTGGGCACAGACCTACTACACACCGCTTGTCAGGCCATGTTGTGGCAGCGTCCCACATAGAAGAACTAGAATGACCTACAACTAGGATATATAACTATGTACTGGGGCTTTGGGGAGGAAAAAAAGAGGAAGATTGGCAATAGCTGTTAGCTCAGGGCCAATCTTCCTCACCAAAAAATTTTTAAAAAGCATATGTTAAAAAAAGGGCAAATTGATACTATCAAAAGTATCAATGTGCATACTCTTTCATAGAGAAATCCTATTTCTAGAAATTAATCCTATAGATACACTCAAAGATATGCTATATTTTGTTGATTTTAAGAAACACACTTTTTCATTTCTGAAATTAGGAAGTGATGTCATAGTTTAATTGGCAGCATTCTTTTTCTCTCTTGGTGGCATGTAAAATAATGGTGCTTCTTAGACTTGATAGTGTCTTAGAGTTTAGGAAATATGGTATATGCAAGGATATTTTATTGATGCACTTTTTGTCTTGGCAGAAAACTAGAAACAATTTAAATGTCTGTTAAATTAAATTTAGGCAGGAAACTGGTTAAATAAAGTACAGTACAGCTATACAATGCAATACTCTGCAACCCTTACAAAGAATAAGGGAGGCATCATGGAAATATGACCATGATACATTTTAAGTAAAAACATCAAGTTATAGATTGGTATGTAACAGGAAAAAAGGAAGTGTATGTGTGCATTTGGGCATACATTTGTATATGTACAGAAAATAGCTCTTATGATTAATTTTATTAACTTGATATTATGAAAGTATCTGGAAAAAAACTAATCTAATCAGAAAGTAGTCATGAGAAGAAGAACTTAAAATGAAATTCACCTTTTCACTGCTCCATCCCATGCCTGCAAGGAAAGCCATGAGCAACGTACACAGTCCTCCTGACCCAGGGAAACCAAGATACACACTGCTGAACACCGACAGCACAGACAGCCCCAAAACAAGGCACGCCCGCTTCCATACAAGTTTGTCCTTGAGGAGAAAAAACGTGGATTAGCTCAATTATTTCATAGAACTGATTTTTAATTATTGATTTTTCCATATTCAGGACTTAGTAGAAAATAAAAATGTCTGTATCTGTGCACATAAATGTATGACATAACATTTACTTTCTTTTCCTTAACAAAAGTAGAGTTAGCATGTGTACAAACGCAGCTTCCCCGTTCAGGAACCTCAGTGAGCCTCCTCTGAAGTCATTGACGCAGAAGTCCGCAGGGCTGAACGGAGCAGCAGAAAAGAGTGTGTGGGCTTTGGAAGTGGACAAATTAGGGTTAAAATGCAAGCTCTTTCCCACCATTGGCTATGCAGTGGCCATATTACTTAGCCTCTCCAAGCTTTGTTTCCTCCTCCTTGAAAGCAGTTACATCATGGGGTTTTTGTGAAGCTTAAAGATATGATATCTCTATTATTTTTAGGTTCTCTATTTACTCTTTAAAGATTTTATTTTTTCCTTTTTCTCCCCAAAGCCCCCCGGTACATAGTTGTGTATTCTTCGTTGTGGGTTCTTCTAGTTGTGGCATGTGGGACGCTGCCTCAGCGTGGTCTGATGAGCAGTGCCATGTCCGCGCCCAGGATTCGAACTAACGAAACACTGGGCTGCGGGAACTTAACCACTCGGCCATGGGGCCAGCCCCTCTATTTACTCTTTAACGTGATGCTCTCCAGTTCTTCTTTCTAAATCTTTGAATACCAAGAAACTCTACGTGGCTGTAGACTGAGAGGAGTCTGTGGTGTTGATTTTTAAAGTCTAAGCAATGTGTACCTCTCCTTCGTTACTCGTCCCTGTTTGGCCTTTAAACTTCTTGACTGCTTTAGAAGGCAGCAGGCCCTTAGAAGGGTTCGACTGGAAGCGCACAGGCCCTGGCAGTGGATGAACTGAGTTCATTCCCAGCTCTACGGCGTTCTAGCTACGTGACCGTGTTTAAGTCACCTCTGCCTGAGCTCAGCAGTGAAATGGTCATATTAAAGGTATTCTCTTCATGGGTTATTGTGTGGATTGACTAGATCAGCGCTTCCCAACAGAACGATCAGTGATGCTGGAAATTTCTATGTCTGTACTGTCTCTGGAAATGTCCTGTGTCTGCTGGAGCCGCATGTAGACAGTCGCTGCCCTGATGAGCACAGCGGGACTTTACTCAACTCACCTGTCATTTTATACACAGTAAGCAACAAAATGTAAGCCATCATTTTTCTTTGTACTTTGTTGCATAATTAGAAAATCCTTGAATTTTCTTTTATGCATTCATAAAATCTTTTACAGACTATTTTACTTGGAGTTTTTTTGCAGCACAATAAAAATTCAAATCAACATATATTCTAATAATGCAAATATTAATTTTCTTAATTAAACTTTTACTTCAGTTAAGATTTGAATTCCATTCAAAATACTCTGAAATCTCAAAATAATGCCAATTCTTTTAGAAAAGAAAAGATTTTTATGTGTTTATCTATCAGAAGAGACTAAAGAGGGTAAAGGAAAACAAACAAGCCTTTGTTTCTCATTAAGAATCACAATGTACAGTAAAGAACTTCAATCTGCTCGGTGAGAAAGAGACTATATTTTAATGAAATGTTAAGGTCTATCTATTTGATAGTATTAGAATCTAAGGTATTTTGACACTAAAACCGTGGGCCCAAAGAACCGTTTGATATCTTGATTTAGTTAAGTATTATGAATAATAATAAAAATAAAAAATAAATTAATTAAAAAAATAAGACTTGCGGGGCTGGCTGGGTGGTGCAGTGGTTAAGCTCGCACGTTCCACTTCGGCAGCCCATGGTTGGCCAGTTCGGATCCCAGGTGCAACCTATGCACTGCTTGTCCAGCCATGCTGTGGCAGGCGTCCCACATATAAAGTAGAGGAAGATGGGTACGGATGTTAGCTCAGGGCCAGTCTTCCTCAGCAAAAAGAGGAGGATTGGCAGCAGATGTTAGCTCAGGGCTAATCTTTCCTCAAAAAAATGAAAATAAAAATAAGACTTGCATATCCTATTAGTTTGGAATTCATGTTATTTTACAGTGCAAGCTGAAGTGTACAGAATATAAATAGGAGAAGAAAATCCCAGGACTGCATTAACATCTTCAAGGTTTAGCTGTCTTCCTAAGCCTCACAGACAGCACTGACAGAGCAGCAAGCAGTTTTAAAATGGGGGTCATTTGCTAAATCATGTCCTTCACATGGCTCTGAGGGAGTGTTCCAGAATGTTTTCCCGTGACATTTTAGAGCACGACTTTCCCACAGATGGTTTCCTTTACCTGGTCGCTGCTTGGGAAGTACTGAATAAAAAATCCAAGAAGAGCCCCAGCTGCCACACCAATTACTACCTCCAAAATGCCTCTGAGGACATTAAAAACCGTGGAACCTTAAACACACATAAAAAAAATCTTCAGTCAGAACTCTAAATCCATAAATACAAAGACTTTACTTCAATCATCACACAAAGCATCTGCTTACACAGAAGGAAAAGTTTACAGATATTTCCTGCTCTCCACAGTCTTAAATATATGTGACTTAAAATGTCTAATAAAATGGGCCTATCTTATAAGAAAGGTATGCATTATTAGAGATAAACTTCAAAATAGGCGTAAACTATGATTTGTGCACTTTTTTGTACATTTACTTCAAAAAACTTTACCTAAAGGGCCTAAGAAAATATGAAAGATAAATTTCATGATTCAGAGCTAATTGGTATGATATGCATAGGCTGGGTGAGTAGACTGATCTAGTTTTCAAACAGCCATTTAATAGCCTGATTTTTTTGTGTGTGAGGAAGGTTGGCCCTGACCTAACATCCGTTGCCAATCTTCCTCTTTTTGCTTGAGGAAGATTGTCGCCGAGCTAACATCTGTGCCAGTCTTCCTCTATTTTATGTGGGACACCGCCACAGCATGGCTTGAAGAGCAGCGCTAGGTCCGTGCCTGGGATCTGAACCCGCGAATCCTGGGCCACTGAGGCAGAGCACACGAACTTAAACCATTACCCCACAGGGCTGGCCCTACGAGCCTGATTTTAAAATAACAAATGTACACTGATTTTAGTAGGTTTGATATGTATAGAATACAGGAACTTAATTTGAGAATTAAAATCAAGAATCTTTTCTTACTATGATGAGTGTAAAGGACTCATTCCTTCTTGAATGTTTATTCTAAAAGCAAACTGAAAACAAATTATTTTTGAAATTGCTCTTAGAAGAATCTTTATTTCTTACTCAGCTTCTTTGAAATAATAGAGAGGTAAGTAGAACCAATATTTTCCCCCATATCATACAGAACTTAGGAAACGTTAATTAAAAAAACTTTGTGAACACATTGTGCAGAAAATTATATTAAAGTTGCTCAAAGGGGCCGGCCCAGTGGTGCAATGGTTAAGTTCACACATTCCGCTTTGGCGGCCAGGGTTTGGCAGTTTGGATCCCGGGTGCAGACATGGCACCACTTGGCAAGCCATGCTGTGGTAGGCGTCCCACATATAAAGTAGAGGAAGATGGGCAAGGATGTTAGCTCAGGGCCAGCCTTCCTCAGCAAAAAAGGGGATTGGCAGCAGATGTTAGCTCAGGGCTAATCTTCCTTAAAAAAACAAAAAAAGTTGTTCAACACATAAAGCCCTTCTTCACACACTATTCTAAGAAAAAATGTACTAACTAGTTATTGTGGGTTTTTGTTATTGTGGTTTAGAGTACACAATATGTCACCCCAAATATGCCACTGGGGCATAAGGATTATTCTGAGTTGAAGGCAATTGAGAAGAAGCAGATATAAGAAAAGCTCTCTGCCCTCTCACTATTTGCCCAAAAGCAGGACATAAATTCATAAAGGTGTCCCCTCTCCTTTTTACCAGGAAGGACAGAAGTTAATCACTGAGACAACTTGGGACACTTATGGGCCCTTATCAGCCCCAAGACAGCACCAGAGGAATTCACATCACAAACTTTGCTAAAACAAGCCCTTATCTACCGTTAGGTCCCCATATGTTTCTTTTCCCACAATTTGCTGCCTCTAGAAGCTCAAAGCTCCTTTATCTTGTGCTTCTCCACATAATTATTGTTCTTTGCTAAAATCCTGAACAAGCCCAAATTCTGACCGCTCCTTTGACTTACTCATCTTTGAGGTCTTGTGTAAGCACAATGCACACGTTAATAAACTGTTTTTCTCTTGTTAGTCTGTCTCTTGTCAGTCTGATTACAGGGCCCCAGTCAACGAACCTAATGTGGGAAACGGTTTTTCCTCCCCTACAGTTTCAATTATCTCTTGTATTTAAAAAAATGATTACCTCTGTAGTAGTTTTATTTAGCTAGGACAGCTCTCTATTAGGTAATAGTGTGACTGTCAAAAACATTTATCTGTGATAATAGTATACGTCGCAAGATATTACAGTAAATAATTTACTATAAATGTGTAGAAAGTAACTAACCACTTTCAGTCGCCCGTATAGTAAGATTGTTTAAAAGAAAAAAAGACTTCTTGGGCCCCACCTCTGAAAATTCTGATGCAGTAAGTCTGGCCGGGCCTGGGATCCACATTTTAAAGAGGCTCCAGGTAGCTCCTATCCAGATGGTCTAAGGACTGCATTTAGTAGGGCAGGGCAGAGGGTACAGAGTATTGTCAAGTAGGAAGGTTCTTCAGGCTAGCCCCACCCCCACCCCCACCCCTCAGATTATGAAAACCCCAGCAGCCGCTCCCCACGGCCCTCCCTACCCTGCTCCTGTGTGATTTTAACGCAAACTCTGTTGCTCTAAAGCTGTGGTTTCCATTCCCAAAGATTATGATTTAAGTGGCCTAAGGTAGGGCCCACATATGAGTATTTTTAAAAAGTTCCCAGGTAATTATAGTGTGCAGCTGAGGCTGAGAACTATTGTTTTAAAGGTGTATACCAGGAAGCAGGGAGAATGTATGATTGGACAGGTACAGTAGAGTTAAAATAGAGATAAGGGTGTAGATTCGACCTAATTGGTAATAGAGAATCCTCACTGGTGCTTGAACAAGAAAGTAAGACTATAAAAACAATGCTTTGAGAAGATTAATTCACCAGTGATACACGGTGGGGACTAGATGTAAGGCAACTTCAGGGTGTGGGAAGAGGTGAAGTACTAGGTAATTGGCATACGTCAACTATAGTCATAAAATGGGAGGATAACCATGGGGCAGAGAGACTGAGAACACAAGACTTTCGAAGGTGTGTTCCCACTAAATAATCTGAAGCTAAACTTAGCCCACAATTACATTTTGTCAATAATATGAAATTGCAAATCTTATCTTCCAGTCTTGAAAACAGATTAAAAAGTGAACTTAAATGTGTGCTGTCCCAAAGGATAATAAAGGTGTTGAATAACAGTAGGGAAAAAATGCCTTTAGTTCCTGTTTTATTACTACTTAAAACAAAATATGTCTGTATCAGACAGTTATTAAGTATTAATAAGATACACATTAAAATAATTATTTCCCCTAAAATGTTAAAGACGAGAGAACAGAAACTGTCCCTCCCACTTGGACTACTTTGTCCTTTGTGCTCACTGAAACACCTGCTCACCCTCCGTGCGCAGTCTCGGAGGCTGACCCTCCCGGGTGGCTGCATGCAGAAGCTGTTCTCCTTCTTTCGACTTTGCTCTTTTGAAGCCCCCTCACGCACCTACCACAGTACTTGAGCATTTTCTATTTAGAGGGTGAAGGCAGTAAAGACAAGAAGCCACTGGTTCCTCCTAAGGTATAGCACTCACTCTTGGAGTTGCTTTTTCTATTTTAATTTGCCTTAATCAATTATCAAGGAAATATGCCACACTCACAACATCATATCTATGTCGCTAGAGCATAAGAGAACAGCACACATGAACTGATCAGTTTACCTGTGGAAAAGGCCATGCCCAAGCACGTGTTGAAGCCAGTGATGGCCAGAATGTCATCAAAGCTGCCAGCAGCCATGAGTAAGGTCGGGACACCTTTTTCAACACCATAGCCCCCTTCCTGCAAAAGGAGCATTGAAGGCACCACCACAGCTGGAGACACAGCACCTAAGACAAAACTAAGCAGGCAGCACTTTAAATATTTATGATAGCATCTTATTCATTATTACTATTATTAGTGAAATTATAATAACCTCCACTCTTTCAGAGGTTACACTTTAGACAATTACAGTCTTTCAAAGGCAGTGAAGTCCCAAACAGAAACACACGCACACCTACAAGTTCTACAGAACACTTCTTCTGAGTGTGGCCATGGACAACTTGCGTTGGGACTACGCAGCCTGTCTGAAATCTGTATTTACGGCTGGTCTGGAAGACCTAATGGGGTGAGGCCCCAGGAATCTGCCTTCTATCTAAACAAAACATCCACGGCATGAGGTTTGAAAAACACGGCCACGGACTTTTTGGATTGGAATCCAGTGATGCGAGGCCTTCTATCAGGACCTGGCATATAAAAATCAGACAACAGATTAGAAGAGGAAGGCCATAGTGACAGTAACAGTGACATTGATAACGGCAGCAGTAGGATAGCAGCAAGCATTTATGAAGCTCACTATGTACCTAACACCATTTTAAGCACTTCACATATATTAACTAATTTAATCCTCACAACCACCCTATGAGGTAGCTACAATCATTATCTTTGTTTTGCAAATGAGGAAATGGAGGCACAAAGAGATTAGGTAATTTGCCGAAGATCACATACTGGAAAGTCAGAGCCGAGATTTGAATCTAGGCAGTATAGCTCGAGAGTCTTAACCGTGAGAAGTAAGTAGTTCTTACTTCTTGCCTACTTATCAGCACCAAATTATTATTATTTTTTTTAAAGATTGGCACCTGTGCTAACATCTGTTGCCAATCTTTTCTTTTTTCTCCCCAAAGCCCCCCAGTACATAGTTGTAGATTGTAGTTGTAAGTGCCTCAGGCTGTGCTATATGGGACGCCAATGCCACCTCAACATGAGCCGTGGGGCTGGCCCCAACACCAAATTCTTACCAAGTACTTTCATATTTATTTACTTCTTATGGCTCTTAAATCTTAGAAGTAGGAACCGGGGGCTGTCCCAGTGGCACAGTGGTTGACTTCATGTGCTCTGCTTCGGCGGCCCAGAGTTTGCTGGTTCAGATCCTGGTGTGGACCTATATACTGCTCATCAAGCCATGCTGTGGTGGCATCCCACATAGAAGAACTAGAAGGATTTACAACTAGGATATACAACTATATCCTGGGCCTTTGGGGAGAAAAAAAAAGAAAAGAGGAAGCTTGGGAACAGATGTTAGCTCAGGGCCAATCTTCCTCACCAAAAAAGAAGAAGAAGAAGAAGAAGAAAGAACTAACAGCAGGAGGAAAATACAGCAGAACAGATAATCATAAGAGCCTGGTGAAAGGAGGAGGAGGCCTGTGCTAGGTGTGGATCACTGTTGAGCATTCGTTATCCTTTGTATGGACTTTGAGGAGAGATCTGGCATCTCTCACTGGCATGGAATCAGGCGTAGTAAAAGTCTATTACTTCCTCAATAGTTTAAATTATTATAAAACTGTCAAAGTTAGCACCTACAAAGACATACACTATATTTTGAAGTTATAATGTTTATATGCTGGTATATTAATAGTCATAATATTATGCTGGAATATCTGTATTGTATTTTCTGATATCCTTAAGAAAATATTATGCATTCACTTGTATAGCGTCAGAGAAAGTCCTAAATGTCCGTGTGTATTTTCATACGACAAAGAAAAATCATTACCCCAGTATAAATCCCCATTGCCACGGCAAACCCATTAGGAAGTGGGCAAGAAGAGCAGATGAGCATGCCTCCACAAGACAGGGACCCATGGCTAATCTTACACAGACACCCTTCAGCTTCCTCAGGGCCTGAAATATAAAAATAGACATACGAAATAACCCTCTAAAGACACACAGAGAGAATGACATTAAATGCTTTTTCTTCAGTGTTCAGACTGTCTGGATCATCCATCATGAATTTTCCAGGTAATGAGTTTTATTTAACAAACATTTCAGTGTTCTAAGTGTTTTAGAGTTGGCTTATTAGTCCTCATAGCAACCTATGACACAGGGGATAATATTATCATCATTGTTTAGATTTTCTCATCCAAAAAGGCACAAGTTAAAGCTGTTCTCCAAGATCATGAAATTAGTGAGTGGTGGAGCTTGGTTTGAGCTCGGCCAGGCTGCTTTCAGAGTCTGTGCTCATAACCTCCACACTAGCTGATCTAACCGTCTCGGTGTTGGCCATATGTATAATTTGTGGCCCCAAAATGAACCTGATGTAAAGGCAATCCTCAAGAACATTCATTCCTGCTTTCAAAAGCAAACACGAAAAAAGCACACTTTGAGACTCATTCTGTATGCTAGGCAGTTTTCTGAGCCAGCATAGTTAGCCCTAAACACTCGTATAGGGCTGTCCACACCAAAAATATGATGTCTTCTCTCTCACAACCCTTATTTATAACTACGGCCTGTATCTCTGTCAGAGAAAAGGGGAGCCTTTATTCTTGGTGCTGTCCCTAGATAGACAGTAACTCCACCTTTCTCCAAGAGAGAGTATGGGAACATCTTTTGGGGACAGTCCTGTATGAAATAAATTTCATTCTGTCGTTCTGAATGCTGTGCAAAGTGTCCACATCCATTTCCTAAAGCTCAGTCATTCTAAATACTTGCAATATTGGAAGAACAAAATTCCAAGTCAATAATTAGAAATTTATACTTCAATACCTGTGGATCAAGCCCAAGGCCAGCACGAACCAATATGACAGACAGTGCTATGCTTCTCAAAGCGGAAGACCACTTGTGCTTGATCTGTACATTATCATTGACGACAGGGATATTTCTGATGAGAAACCCAGCAAGCAGCATGCCTGGGATGGAGAAATCAAACAAATCTTTAGTTTTCAAATACAGAAAATATTTTCAGTACTTTAGATGTAGAAGAGACTATCCCAGGATTATAATCCCAGGAACCACTTCTTTTATGCTTAGTCCTTAGATGAAATTATGTCAAACTTTTAATGAAAAAAAAAATTACAGGAGCTAAGAAAAGGCTTTAATATGCAGATAAAAATGAAAGATTAGAATAATTAATAATTCATTAATAATTGAACCTGAAAGGGAGAAACAGGATGTAGTATTTGGGTAGAAAGTATGATCAAATTCTGAATATAAAATGTTTTAATACAAGGCCCAATTCAGTCATCTCTTTGTATGCAAACAGCAGAAAGATTCTAAAATTATTTACCATGTCAGATTACTTGAAATATCAATACCTATATGGGCTCTATTTTACCTATTTTCAAACCAGATAATTTAATAAAAAACATATAACCTGCTTTGCAAAGGCTTAGAAGTGAGTTATCATGAAATAGACATTGTTCTGTCATGTCAGCTGGTGACTCTTCTTTCATTCAGCCATTCAACATTTATCAAATGCCTTCGGTACTTTCGACACTATAGTAGGTATTAGAGATATTGCAATGAACAAAGGCTCAGTACTATCCCTCAACAAGCTTTCAGTCTATGGGGGCAACCTCAATTTTATGGAAGCATGAGGAGGCCTTATACAAGCTGAGACAAGGAAGGGTGAGTCAGCAGGGGCCAAAGAAGGGGAAGGGGAATGAAGAAGGGGCTGGAGAAGTTGAGAAGTTTCCGGGAGAAATAACAGTTTCTTCCAAGGTATGAAGAGAAAGTGTGACACATTCTGGGAACTGCAAGTAGTTGAGTGTGCCTGAGGAAGCTGGGTAGTTTGTGAGAGAATCCTGCCCTCCCTGATACCACATGCCCAGATAGGGGAAGGATTTCTCCTCAGAGACTGCAAGCCGTCCACACTCCGTTCTTCTCTAGCAGGACTCTTTTCTTACCACATCCTTATATGGACCACACTTCAAAGGACTAAATAAATTTACTAACTTTGGGTTGTTTTATATGTAAGCTATGAGAATAGAGATGAATTACAAGTATAGCTTTTTGTGACTTGTTCCAGACACCATTAGGCAAGGAAGCATCTCTTCCAGGCATTTCTCATTGCTGCCATTTAATCTAGAAGAAGTTATGAATTCTGCAGTCATGATCTTTCTAGAATTTTTGAAAGTAAGAACCAGCCTACAATAGCTGTTTTTAAAAGAATAATAATATATTTGCTCATGATAAAATTAAACCATGACAGACAATGTAAAGTGACCAGTACATGTCCTACCCCAAGTGCAACTTTCCAGCTTCATTCCCCAAAGGTTTCCACTGTCCAGAGTTTTCTGTGCCCTTCCAGAAAGTTTCTCTACCTATTAAAGCATGCTTCTCTGTGTGTGTGTACGTGTGCTCTTTTGCACTGGACACAAATGAGAGCACGTTTAAATACCATTGTATAATCTGTTTCTTTTCCACTTAACAATATATCGTGGACATATTCCCAATGATGCACATATATATTTGCCTTGTTTTTTTTTAATAGTTGGAATAGTTTCTCGTTGTGTGGAAGTACCATAATTTTTGGACTAAGTAAGGGACTTGAAGGAACTTTCCAGATTTTTCATTACAAACAGTGCTGAAATGAGCACAGTATTTATTAACTGCATGCCAGACCCTTACTCTACCCTGGTAATGCAGAGGCGAGCTACACCAACATGGTCCTTGTCCACATAGAGCTTACATATTTGTAGGTTTGTGCAAGTATATCCATAGGATAATTCTTAGCAGTGGAAATGTTAGGCTCCAGGGTACAGTGTATATCATTTTTATAGATATTAATGAATTACCAGCCAAAAATGCTGCACTAACCTTACATTTCATTAATTTGTCAACAGTTCTTTACTGAAACTTAAAATGTGAATCTAAACCAGCCCTAAATTGATTATAGCATATAACTACCTGAAATCAAAAGGAATAATAGTCTAATAAGAACTCACAAATATGTAGGAGTTTCTTTTGGAGTTTTGGAGGGGATGAAGGAGCATTTTTCATTTCTGAGATGAATGTACAAACAATTTCCCTGAGACAGTTCTGTTTGCCGATGGCCTCGGTTGATGTGGCCACCTGACTGTGATTAGGAAGGCGCCCCCTCTGGCCTCTGAGCCCCTGGGGGGGCCTTTCCCTTGGGTGTGGAGAAAAGAATACCTTCTTTGATAAGGAGTATTCTTCTTTCCTCCTTAATTTCTATTACGGAAATTTTTTAAAACATGCAAAAATTATCAATACATGGCCAATCTTATTTCATCTACTCTCAAGTTATTTTGAAGCAAATCATTATTGAAAAAAATTTCCAGCAACCCAGACCATCAGCAAAGGAAACAGTGTCCTAGGAAAGTTGTTTTCACATTCATTTTTGGAATAAAAAATGCTCCTTCATCCTCCATCTCTGGCAATTATTTCAATGAATTTTTAAAAATATGGAATAGGCAATCATCACACATGTCTGTCTTAACAAGTCTTCTTTATGGATTCAGATAATGTTTCAGTTTTAGATACTGGCCCTAATACGCTAAGAGCCAGTAAACTTCTGTCACAAGCGTACCACTATAGAAAGGGATGGTAAGATACATTACGTACGTGACTTTTAAGAATGATTTCAGTGACCTCAGGAGATTTCATGTAATCACAAAGCCCAAGGATTTATCATTTTGCAACATGTGTATTTTGCTTGTTGCAATAACAGGCATGGAGTGGAAAAGAGAAGGATGAGGTGTAAAGGGCATTTTCATGGCGTCTAGAACAGTAGTCCTCAACTTAGGTTGCATATTAGAATCACTGGGGAGCTTTTAAAAATTCTGATACCCAGGGCTACTCCATTCAATTAGTTCAGAATCTCTGGGGTGGGTCCCAGGCATCAGCTTTTTAAAAAATTTCCCAGATGATTCCTACGTGCAGCCAGGTTTGAAAACTTATGATTTTTCTGTGGAAAGTGTGGTCTTTGAGCTTATTAGAAAGGCAGAATCTCAGGCCTCACCCCAGACCTACTGAATTAGAGTCTGCATTTTAACAAGATCCAAGGTCATTCTCTGGATAATAAAGTGTGAGAAGCTCTGACTTTGATGCAGGGGTTAGTAAACATTTTCTGTAAAGGGCCATACAAGAAACACTGCAGGCTTTGTGGGCCACATGGTGTCTGTTATAAGCTCTCAGCCCTGCCATTGTAGTATAAAAGCAGCCACAGACAATATGTAAATGAATGAGCAGGAGTGTGTTCCAATAAGATCTTATTTACAAGAAGAGATGGTTTGCCAACCCTTTATCATAGCACACAGGCATATTTAGAAACAGCCCCCCTTTTGTTTTTGGTGAGGAAGATTTGCCCTGAGCTAACATCTGTGCCAAGCTTCCCCTATTTTGTATGTGGGACGCCACCACAGCATAGCTGACAAGGGTGTAGTCCACAGCCAAGACCGGAACCCACGAACCTGGGCCACCGAAGCAGAGTGCACCGAACTCAACCACTACACCACCGGGCTGGCCTAGAAACAACCCATTGTCATAATAATTCAATTAAAAACTTTAACAAAAAGCACCCATGATAAACAATATGAATTAAGTGAAATAACTTGAATTTTACCTAAATTGAAAAATATATTGGGAAACAGTGTAGAGTAAGATGTAAATAATTCTACTTCTTTTTACATTTAGTTTCAATTGCTCACCACAAATTCACAGGAAAATAATTTTGGTCTATGTTAACCAATCCTGAGGTCCTCACTAATAGAAAAAAATTTTTACTTAGGAAATGTGTGTGTGTGGGGGGGGGTCTGGTCCTGTGGCTGAGTGGTTAAGTTCATGCACTCTGCTTTGGCAGCCCAGGGTCTCACTGGTTCGCATCCTGTGCACTGACCTAGCACCGCTCATCAGGCCATGCTGAGGTGGCGTCCCACATAGAGGAACTGGAAGAACCGACAACTGGAATATACAACTATGTACTGGGGGGCCTTGAGGAGAAGAAGAAATGAAAAAAAAAAGAAGATTGGCAACAGATGTTAGCTGAGGGCCAATCTTTTAAAATAAAAAAAAGGAGATGTGTGCAAATATGCATGTGTAAAAGGTACATGGTTTTTAAATAAAACTTAATGATTTATAAATCTGTGAGAAATGGACACAAAATGTCTTTTGTGGTATACTGAAAGTAGTACACTGAAATTTTGTAATATGGAATTTTTAAAAGAAACATTAAAGATATAATACCTAGTTTTAAGACTAATTTTTACGTGTCATATCTGCACAGTTCTCATGGCCTCTGGAAGAATAGTTTTGTAATACATGTTGGAACTTCACTCATTTGTCAATGATGTGAGTGACTGACAACATATTAAGCCCTGGTCTGCAGCATTTGCTGATTTCTGTATTACAGATACTTCTACCAGGGCTGATGTTAACCTACCAACCTGACATCATTGAACGTGGAGCTGGGAACAGATGGGCAGTGACACACGGTGATATAGTATTTCCATAATCTCAAGAGGAGAGATAAGAGGAAAATGTAGTAAAATAATTAAGAAGTGATTGGTTTTGAGTATTGCTCTTGTGTTTAATGCAAGTTATTTAATTGTAAGTATATATAATTTAATTTTCAAATTGCTGTTTACCAACTGGCTCATAAAACTCATCACAATTTAACAATCAGCTTTAAGGGCCAGCACAGCAAATACAGAAATAGTTTATTCCTTTATTTCCCAAACTACTATTTTAAAAATATGATTTACTCTGAAGGACACAGGAAGTGTTTGGTACTTACCAAGAAGAGGAGGCAGTGGAGGCAACGTAGGTAACTTAATGAGCCCCAAAAGTTTCCCTCCAAAGATGGCACAATAGAACAGGATTATAATTCCAAATAGGTTTCCTCCAGGAAGACATTCACTGCCAGTAATTGACCACACTACAGCCCACAGAAGAACAAGGATGGTAACTGAAATAAACCAGGAAAACTTCTATCAATAAGTTGTCATATGTCGGTTTTGATATAATCTAAAAGTTTTTAAAAATAAATACTGAATACACATACAAATATTTATAACCATGTGTAAGTTTTGAAGAACACCAGTGATATGAACAACTGGGTAATTACCAACCATCTGAAGAAATAGGATATTACCAGTGCCTTGAAGGCAGCTCTGTGTTCCTCTTAATCCCATCCCCCATCGCCTTCCACACTGCTACAACTAATACCTTGAACTTTTTTTCTTTTTACTATTCCCTTATTATTCTTTTTAATTTTACTATAAATATATCAGTAGTTAATAAAAAGAGAAACAATCACTATCTTTAACCTCTTCACAGGAGCATGAGAATACTTGAACAACCACACTCCCCTATTTTAGCTCTGCCTTGAATTAAACATTATCATTGTTTCTCTTCTATGTTGACGTTTGTTTAGAATTACTCAGATACTTACCTTTTTGGGGGGGCCATCATTCATTGTGGCACCTCAAACCTTTCCTCTGGGACAATCATCTGGTTGCCTGAAGTATTTGCTTTAGTAGAGGCATTTCTGTTAGAATGCAAAATATGTTTCCCTGTTTCAAAAACCTTGTGTTCTACAAAATCAGACACTGAAAACAAAAAGACTTATGGGAAAAACAGAGTTGGAGCAGACGACCCAAAACTCAAAACTTGTGACCAAAGCACTAAAAAACAGTAACAATTCTAATACAGTATCAGCACAGTTAAATCTCTACTGACATCCGCATCTAAAGTCAGTCTCTTCTTTGCAGACTTAAACCCTGGAACCACACTTCCTTTTCCCCGAGATGTAGAATCTTGAGGGCATTTGCTTTAAATAGAGAGCAGCTCCATCAAAATCTTATGCAGATTGTAGCTTATTCATCAAACAAAGGTTTGTTTGTTTTTAACTGAGGGAAAAGTGTTGGCAGCTTCTTCACCTGTACTGCCAGCTTCTTCACCCACGTGTGGTTTCATTAGATAGCTTAACCTTGTGGGAAGTTTAAAAAGTCTTTGAAGCCCCTAAACCAGCTGCCCAAAAAGAAGGCACTTTCACAGAGATTTCAGCTTTTTAAAAGGTCCTCAAGTTGATAAGGCTTTATCTTTAATTGTAAGAAAACATCTATCTGATTTTTGTTTGTTTTCAATTCACTTTGTATTCACTTGCTATTGCTTGATGATGAAAAATACTAAGATGCCAGGAAAAATTATGTACAAAAATGCAAATTCCATCTGGCACTCACACAATACCCTATTTACCATCGCATAAGAGCTAATTTATGGTACAGAAACTCTCTGTAGCAAAGCATGTTATGTTTCTCATAAGGCTCTGTTGGTAGTAAATTCTTAGTTTTGTCTGAAATTATCTTCATTTTCATTCTTAAGACAGAGTTTTTCTGCATATACAATTCTAGGTTGAGAGTTACTTTCTCTCAGGTCCTTGAAAATATTACTCTTTGGCTTTCTGGCTTTCATTGCTGCTTTTACTTCTAATTTCTGCTTTTTTAGGGAATTCTTTTTCTTTGGCCGTTTTTAAGATCTTTTCCTTTTCTTTGGTTTTCTGCAATTTCAGTTTGATGTATTTAGGTATGACTTCCTTTCGGTTTGCTTGGGATTTAAGTTTTTCACTAATTCTGGAAAATTCTCAGTCTTCATTTCTTCAAATATTTCCTCTTCACCATTCTCTATTCTCTTTTTCTGGAACTAGGATTAGACAGTCATACTCTTCTCCATGTTGCTAGCCCTCATTTTCACATTTTCCATCTTTGTGTCAACTGCATTCTAGATAATCTCTTCAGATCTCTTACTAGTTCACCAATTCTCTTTTCACTTAACCCACTGCTTCATCTATCCACTGAGTTTTAAATTTCAATTACTGTACTATATCTTTCATTTCTAGAAATTCGACTTGGTCATTAGCAAAATGTTTGTTTATTTTTTAAAAATAGTTCCTTGTTTTGTACTTATATTTGCTATCTCCTCTTTAATTTCTTTACAGATACCAAAAATATTTTCTGTTCTATTTTCTGATAATGCAAATTTTTGAAATCTCTGTTTCCTTGTGCATGTTGTGATCTTTTAAAATTTGTTGTGACAGTGACCTCTTCCTTGAAACTTTACCTTTGGGGATTGTTGGAGCCTTAGGTTGAATGTGCGTTTTCCTGGATAGGATCTGCATTTGCTTCTACCATGTGCTTAGAAGCTTCCAATCTGGGATCACTTTTAGATCTATTTTCAGCTCGTGTTTTTTATGTGAATTTGGAGCACAGATCAGCAGGGAGTTACACATTTTTAGTGGGACGCTCCTCTCCCCCAGCCAGCACCATAGTTGAGATAGATGTGGGTGCAGGCCCCATCTGCAGCTGCCACGCTGGGCTCCAGCTTTGTGTGGGTGAGGGAGGACGAGTGCTCCTGAGACTTCTGCCCACCTGGACCAGCTCCAGCACGGCCCCCTATGCTCTCAGGGCCTCAGAATGACTCTCAAGCTCACAGGTGTTTTGCAGAAGCCTCCAGGGTGAAGGCCAGCTTGAGTACATATTTATCTCCTCTGCTCAGTTTGGTTTTGGTGTCCGATGACTTCCTGTTTTCTTCACAGAAAAAAGGTACATTTAAAAAGACTTAAAATACTGTTTTCATCTTGGCATAAGTGAGAGAATTGTTCACTGAATCTTGTCTACCATACTGCTAGAGACTGAATCTAATGCCCCAGTTTTTACATCCTCACAGAATTGTTCCTGATTTTCTAGGCTTATGATGATGTTACAATGAAATAAATAACTTAAGGCCTTCAGTATTTTCCAGTTGGCTATAGGGGCTGAAATTTCTATACAGTATTGAAGGTACAATGAGAAAGTAGGAATTACCAGCTACTAAATTTTACTGTATCACAGCATGAACCCGATTTTATACTAAATTCAGCAAGGTACTTTTCTACTTCAAGACCACTTTTAAAAAAAATCTCTAATTTTCCTTTCCTCTCCCATACTCAAAATTCAGTTCTAAATACACAGTAAATATATGTGTATAAGGTTTCTCTAAATCATCTTTAATTTAGTTAATAATTTACTTCTCATTTATGATTTTGGAAAATCATTTTTTCACATGTAAGATTGACTTCTTAAGACAAATACTTATGTATTCCGAATGGGCACAGGAAGGAATATAGGAAAAAGCCCTCTTGTGAGCCTCAGGAACAGAAGCACAGAAAACAAGAGAAGAGGTGCTCATACACGTGAGTCCACTTCTCAGGCAGCTGATGGACAACGATTATAGAACTCAAAACAGTGAGTCTCCAGACCACATCGTTCATTTACACCTTTCCTATGTCAATCTGTATCAGTTTTCCTGTAAATGTTTTAACTAGAATTTGAAGGGTAAAAGTTTAAAAACTTTTTAAATATAAATATAAATTATAAATAATAATTTGAAGGGTAAAAGTTTAAAAAAGTAATAAAAAGGACAGAAAAGGTATTAAATTATCTGTTGCCTTATCAACTAGTGTACATTTTGGATCCTGGTTTTCTCCATGTGTTTTAAATAAAGTTTGAGATTTTTTTCTCATGCTAGTTTAGAAAATTAACTAATTTCAGTAAAAACATATCCAGAGTCTAAAGTATAACATACCATTGTTCCAGTTGAGAATGGTAAAATGTCTTTCATTTTCATTTCGTGAGCTTCAGAGCTCACGAATGAATTACAACCATAAAGAAGTGAGTCTGATTTTTGAGTAAACATAACATCGAGAGCAAATGAGTTATATTCTTCAACATACTTACTTTGGGAGGCCATATATCTACTTCAATGACACTGTCATTCCTCAACACAGTTTTCTAAATTGTCTTTAAAGTTGCCTTTAAAGCACTTTTCAAATCCCTTCTCCTTTTTCATACTATACTACACATCCTCCACTATACACAATACACACACACGCGTACATACACACAGGTACATTCACACACTTCTTTTTTGAACAAAAAACAGCATTACTGAATCTGAACATCCATTTATTAATCAAAGTGATATCAGCTTAATGTTTGGCTGCCTCAAAAAACCAAATCCATTCCTAAAAGACAAATATACCCCAACTCTAACAATATCCAAAATTGTGCTGAGATAAATTCTCAAGGAAAAATCTTCCAAATATTTTGTTTTTTTAAAATTGAGATTCATAATAGTTTGTATCATTGTGAAATTTCAGTTGTACATTATTTCTTGTCTGTCACCACATAAGTGCTCCCCTTCATCTCGTGCCCACCCTCCAGCCCCCTTCCCCTGGTAACCACTGAACTATTTTCTTTGTCCGTGTGTTTGTTTATGTTCTGCATATAAGTGAAATCATATGGTGTTTGTCTTTCTTAGTCTGGCTTATTTCGCTTAGCAAATAATACCCTGCAGGTCCATCCATGTTGTTGCAAATGGGAAGATTTTGTCTTTTTTATAGCTTAGTAGTATTCCATTGTATATATGTACCACATCTTCTTTATCCAGTCATTGGTCGATGGGCACTTGGATTGTTTCCATGTTTGGCTATTGTGCATAGCGCTGCAATGAACACAGGGGTGCATATGTTACTTTGGATTGTTGATTTCAAGTTGTTTGGGTAGATACCCAGTAGTGGCATAGCTGGGTCACATGGTAGTTCTATTTTTAGTTTTTTGAGGAATCTCCATACTGTCTTGCATAGTGGCTGCACCAGTTTGCATTCCCGCCAGCAGTGGATGAGGGTTCCCTTTTCTCTACATCCTGTCCAACATTTGTTGTTTCTGGTCTTGGCAATTACAGCCATTCTGACTGGTGTAAGGAGATATCTCATTGTAGTTTTGATTTGTATTTCCCTAACAATTAGTGATGTTGAGCATCTTTTCACGTGCCTGTTGGTCATCTGTATATCTACCTTTGAAAATGTCTGTTCATATCCTCTGCCCACTTTTTGATCGGGTTGTTTGTTTTTTTTTGTTGAGGTGTGTG